CTGGGACTACAGGCGCCCGCCACCACGCCCGGCTAGTTTTTTGTATTTTTTTAGTAGAGACGGGGTTTCACTGTGTCAGCCAGGATGGTCTCGATCTCCTGACCTCATGATCCGCCTGTCTCGGCCTCCCAAAGTGCTGGGATTACAGGCTTGAGCCACCGTGCCCGGCCTTTGAGCCTTTGTTTATGTTGTTTATATCTATTGATATTTACCAAATTAAATATTAAAGCTGAGAAAGTTTTAAAATATTTTGTCACTAATTCATTTAAGAAAGACAGTATTGAAGCTATCATGTTAACATAACAATTTTTAATGAAAACTATATTTTCCAAAACAAAATTAGGAGAATGGCCAGGCGTGGTGGCTCATGCTGTAATGCCAGCACTTTGAGAGGCTAAGGCAGGCGGATCACTTGAGGTCAGGAGTTCGAGACCAGCATGGCCAACATGGTGAAACCCTGTCTCTACTGAAAATACAAAAATTAGCCAGGCGCCGGGCGCAGTGGCTCACGCCTGTAATCCCAGCACTCTGGAAGGCTGAGGCAGGCAGATCACAAGGTCAGGAGATCAAGACCATCCTGGCTAACACAGTGAAACCCCATCTCTACTAAAAAATACAAAAAATTAGCCGGGCGTAGTGGCAGGCACCTGTAGTCCCAGCTACTTGGGAGGCTGAGGCAGGAGAATGGCGTGAACCCAGGAGGCGGAGCTTGCAGTGAGCGGAGATCGCGCGCCACTGCACTCCAGCCTGGGCGACAGAGCGAGGCTCCGTCTCAAAAAAAAAAAAAAATTAGCCAGGCGTATTGGCAGGTGCCTGTAATCCTAGCCACTTGGGAGGCCGAGGCAGGAGAATCGCTTGAACCCAGGAGGTGGTGGTTACAGTGAGCTGAGATCATACCACTGCACTCTAGCCTGGGTGACAGAGCGAGATTTCATCTAAAAAAAAAAAAAATTAGAAGAATGGTCTTCTTTTCATTTTTGCAAATTACTTTCCATCTGGCTTAATAGACTAAAGCTGGCTTCTCATATATGCTTCTGTATTCAGTCTGTTGCAATACATTGTTTTGGTTGAAGTATATGAAAAAATATCCAACCTCACACAAATATGTAAGTGAAAAAGAGAGGAGTGTTTCAGTAGCCTTGCCAGATAATTTCCAGTATTAAATTTGAGCCCTTATCAATGAAGTCTTCATACTCATTTACACTAAAATCTATTGGTCAAACCAGTGCTTTGAATCCATCATGCTTTGGTCATTTGGAAAATAGGGTCACTGGATTTTGCAGATCTTCCAAATGTTTTCCATTTCATTTTACAGTACCAAAAGATAACATTTGTTAATATCATCACCAATTTCATCAGAAAAGTCTTCAAGTATTTAGCAGCTGTGAAACTCATGGTGGTGGACAAAAGTTTCAGAATTCTAATCTTCACTTGAAAGCTTGCGTTTTATATCATTGACTATAAATACTGTCAGTTGTTTTCCTTGAAATGACAGGCTAATTTTATTCATTGTTCATTTTTTTGAGAAAATGTCTGCCAATTCCCAAGTCTAAATAGTAAGTCATTCTTTCAGTTAAAAAATGGTGTTCCATGAAAAAAAGTGGCTTCCTCTTCCTTGGATTTTCTCTCTCTTTTATCCAGGAAAAACTAGAAAGCCCTAAGTTAATGCTTCTCAGGTCAAGGCAAAAAAGTCTTGGGCCTGATCTGGTAAGGAAGCAGAGATAATGGTTTTAATGGCTACAGATGCCAGCCCCCTAGGCCCTGGAGTGTACCTAGAGCTCACTTGGCCCCTTCACTGCTCTGGGGCAGTGCATGCTACAGCATGGATCTCCTGTGAGTAATCTCACACTCTCCAGAGATTCTGGTTTTGCTTAGAGTGAAGAAAAATTATCTTGGAGCTTTTTTGAGGAGATCCAAAATCAGTAGAACCCCCAGAATTTTTCTTCCCTCATCTTTTGCCTAAGGCTAGACCTGCATCCTCAGAGTCTCTGAAATTTAAACTGAGGTGAGCAAGAACAACGGGCTGCTGGATTCAAGAATCAGTTCCGGCCGGGCGCGGTGGCTCAAGCCTGTAATCCCAGCACTTTGGGAGGCCGAGACGGGCGGATCATGAGGTCAGGAGATCGAGACCATCCTGGCTAACACGGTGAAACCCCGTCTCTACTAAAAAATACAAAAAACTAGCCGGGCGACGTGGTGGGCGCCTGTAGTCCCAGCTACTCGGGAGGCTGAGGCCGGAGAATGGCGTGAACCCGGAAGGCGGAGCTTGCAGTGAGCTGAGATCCGGCCACTGCACTCCAGCCTGGGCGACAGAGCGAGACTCCGTCTCAAAAAAAAAAAAAAAAAAAAAAAAAAAAGTAAAAAAAAAAAAAAAAAAAAAAAAGAATCAGTTCCATCAGCCTTTGTGATGAAGAAAAATGGTTGGAGTTTTCATTCATTCGATGAACATTTGCTGATTATGTTCTTTGTGTAGGAATACTGTGCCAGGTGCTAAAAATACAGCTTGGGAGCAGCTGATTGAAAGTCTGGGTTGACTGACTTTTCAGGGCATAAGGGTTCATGAATGCCAGAATTTGGAAAATGGCAGCAGATCACAGTCAAAGGGAACTCTGAACCAAGAGCCATTCTCTGCCAAAGCAAAAATTTGAAGGAACCAGTGGCATTACTGACTAAATATAACATCTCTAGGGCTTGGAATTCTTATCACCCTCTAGCAATTAAAGCGGAGATGAAAATAGCAGAAAAAAGTTCCCAGTTCCACAAGGCATCATACCCAGGGGCAGGCACCAGGCCCTAGAGTTAAGACATCAGCTTTAGGAGTGGCCTTCTCAAACTGCCTGGGCCTGAAAGAAGGACTCAAGTGTACCAAACTCAGAGAGGACAGTGGATAAACTAGTCTTCAATGTAGACTTAGAACAGAACAGCCAAGGGGCTTAGATAGTAGATTGAGTGCCTACTGCCTGGATCCCTTGAGCTAAGTGCTTTGTATCTCTAATGTCCTGTGGGCAGCTTCAATTAGAGCTTAATTAGCTTTTCAGGCCCTGTGTTTCTTGCTTTAACTGGGAAGACAACCTGTCCTGTAAGGTCACTTCCAGTGATGGCTAATCTCATTTATTTTGTGTACCATTTTGGCTCTAGGGAGAGTCACATTATTTCGGTTAACTGGGGGCATCTCATAATCCCTAAAGAATGCAGTCTTTTCCTCTAACGCGGTTAAGATTGGAACCATTCTGGAGGTCAGGTGGACAGATGGGCCTTTCTCTGTAGGAAGCAGTAATTTCAAGCAGTATCTCATTGGACTGCCTGATGGCTGCTTTGCCATGGGGACACCTAGCAAATCTGAGTTCTCTACCACATGCCCAGCTGAGCCCATGCCTCAAGCCAGGCCCTGTGCTGCTCCATGAGGGATCCAGACAGGAATCAGACCTGGCACCTGCCTCTTGTAGAAGGGACAGAAGATACAGGTAAATAAATTAAATAGAAGGCACAACTACTATAATCAAGGCACAGTGTACGAGGAGGAGATGGGAGAGAAGTGAATTACAAGAGGGACTCTGTAGGAGAAAGTCTGGAGGAGGCTGGACTTAAATTGGGCCTTTCGTCTCAGCTACTCATTGGTAAACATGAGAAGAAAGTGGATTTTAAGCAAGGGATCCCCTTTAGCAAAAGCATGACATAGAAAAAGGCAGAGATTATTTTGGGAATTTAGGGAATGACTTCATGGGGTTGAGGGGAGAGATTAAGATTTCTAACAAGTCACCTTAGATTCATCATATATGAGAGACTCATGTTCGTGTAAAATACAGTGACCATTTATTGTTTCCTATTGTTCCTGTTCTGTTAATGATTAATACCATATGTTGAGCAACATCTATGTGCCTAGCAGTGGACTAGGTGCTTTATCACATTTATTTCTCACAGCTGACCCTACAAATTGAAACTTAATCCCATTTTACAGATGAGCAAACAGAGAGGGTAAGTAGAACTAGCACAGCATCATACAGCTGGTAAGTGATAGAGGTCAGGATTAATGCCAAAGCCAGTGTTTCCACTGCGCCCCAGTGCCTTCCACAAGTACTTTGGCACTAAATGCAGTCACATTAATTACACGCTTAATTTATAAGAATTGTGTATTTGCTTTTAAAAACAGAAAACACACGTATCATACTTTTTATTATACATTTGAATTATTGGTTATAACTACAAAACCATATACAGTCATTCCTCCACATCTGTGGATTCAACCAATTGTAGATAGAAGATATTCAAGGAAAAAAAAAGTATGATTGTGTCTATACTGAACATGTGTAGACTTTTTGCCTCATCATTATTCCCTAAACAATACGGTATAGCAACTATTTACATAACATTTACATTGTATTAAATATTATAAGTAATCTGGAGATTGTGGGAGTATGTGCATTGGTTATATACAAATATGACACCATTTTATGTCAGAGATTTGAGCATCTGCAGATTTCGGTATCTGTGGGGTGTCCTGGAACTGATCCCCCATGAGTACTATGGGATGACTGTATAGTGTGGTTTATATGCCATATAAAGAATTTCAGGCCAGGCGCGGTGGCTCACACCTGTAATCCCAGCACTTTGGGAGGCCGAGGCAGGTGGATCACGAGGTCAGGAGATCGAGACCATCCTGGCTAACACGGTGAAACCCCGTCTCCACTAAAAATACAAAAAATTAGCTGGGCGTGGTGGCGGGCGCCTGTAGTCCCAGCTACTCGGGAGGCTGAGGCAGGAGAATGGCATGAACCCAGGAGGCGGAGCTTGCAGTGAGCCAAGATCGTGCCACTGCACTCCAGCCTGGGCGACAGAGCGAGACTCCGTCTCAAAAAAAAAAAAAAAAAAATTTTGTTTTCAATAATAACTATACAACATTTTAATTATATGTACTGGCTTTTGAACCTAGCATGCAAATGAAATGAAACTTGTAGTAAAAGTATATGTCCTGGTGCTCACCTTGTGGTCATCATCATGGCAGGAAAAGGGACTCTATCTAGAGTTACTGTGGCACTTTGTAGCTATGGAAAGTTTCTTCTTTGCCTTAATTTCTCTGAATACCATCCTTCTCTATCAACCTTCCACTCCTGCAGTTGCCATTAAACAACTGTCTTGCTCATTGAAATGTTCCCTTGGCAGAGACTGATTTAGGCTGTATCTTTTGTGAGTTCCACATGTAAAATTTCTGTCTAAGTTCCTTGTACTTCCCGAAATGTTTCATTATGCTTCTGGTACTATTGTTTGGTTCTCTTCTTTTTTGAGAAACCAAGGACCTAAGTCAGTGTAACTGGTAACATTACAGGTTTAAGGATACCCTGATGCTAACTCATTATGAGAAAGTAATTTCATGGGAGAAAAATGATGGCATTATCTTATTGGTAGGATGAGGGTGATACCCTTATTATTCCCGTAGGCCTCTGCAGATACATGTTACCTACTGTTGAGTAAGTTTGGAAGGTACGTCAGTTAACTACCATTGCATAACAAACCACCTCCAAAACCTAGTGGTTTAAAACAATACCACTTTCTATCTCTCACGAGTCTGCTCTCAGCTGGGCTCACTCATGTTTCTCTGATCAGCTGGCCAATCAGCTGGGAAGGCTTCGCTGTCTCCACAAGTCTTTCACATCCCTCCAGCAGCTAGCCTCGTCTCGCTCTCAGGCCATGGCAGAGGTACAGGAGCGAGCAAGCCCAGCCATGCATGGAAACAAGTGGAAATGCATACACACTTTTCAAGTTTATGGCTGGCAGCCTGTTTGCTAACATCCCATTGGCCAAAGTGACATAGCCAAGCCCAGTGTCAGAATGGGGGCAGATACAAAGTTGCAGGATATAGGAAGCTATTAATGGGAGGCATTAAATGCAATCAGTCTCCCAGTCAGGACCCCTCAGTGTGAAAGCAAACCTATAGACTTACATTTATTTTTCTTTTTTTTTTTTTTTTGAGACGGAGTCTCGCTCTATTGCCCAGGCTGGAGTGTAGTTGCGCGATCTTGGCTCACTGCAAGCCCCACCTCCTGGGTTCACGCCATTCTCCTGCCTCAGCCTCCCGAGTAGCTGGGACTACAGGCACTCGCCACCACGCCCGGCTAATTTTTTGTGTTTTTAGTGGAGACGGGGTTTCACCGTGTTAGCCAGGATGGTCTCGATCTCCTGACCTCATGATCCTCCCGCCTCGACCTCCCAAAGTGCTGGAATTACAGGCGTGAGCCACCACGCCCGGCCTGACTTACATTTCTAAGTCAAGTTTATCATAGAAGGAAAAAAAAAAAAAGTCCAAATAATGACTGTATTGGGCCTATGTTATGGGCATACACAGGGTAGACACTTTACATGCTACGCAGTGATGATCCTTACAACAACTCTGCAAGGTAGGTAGGAATTGGAGCCCAGAGAAGTTAAATAACTTGCTCAAGGTCACCCAGCCCGTATGTGTTCAGGCAGGGATTAGAATGCCTGTTTGATTTCAAAGCCCAGATTGTTTTCACCATACTCACTACCTCTCAGGAGTACCAACCAAAGCCTTACCTTCCCTCTGACACAATTTCCCATTGAGTTGATACTTTCTGACTAGCTGTACAAACGCCTCCTCCAAAATGTTGCTGCGATCCTAAGGGAATTGTGCAATTCTTCAGAAAACTCACACATTCTCCTAAACTGTCCATTGACTAAAAGCATTATTTCCTTCCAGATGGGCATTGGTCCCTGGGCTGCACAGGCAGCCCAAGAATTGTAGCCACTCCCAGCCATGCCAGAGAAGGAAGGGCCTTTAACCTTTAAGATGAAAGGTTTTTTGGGGGATGTCAGAGAATTAGGACATTTGAGCATGAGCTTTGGAGTCAGACTCACTAGGGTTCAACCACTCGCTAGCTTTATAACCTTGGGCAACTCATTTAACTTCTTGAAATCTGTTTCTTCATCTTAAAAAATGGGAATAAGAACACCTCATTTGCAGAGCTGTTACAAGGACTAAATTTAAATTATGTCTATAAACTGCCTAACCCAGTGCCTGGCACGTAATAAGTGGCATTACTAACATTGTTACCATTATTTTGAAGGAGAGCCTTTCCCCTCCTGGGAAACCCTGTTTCTGTCTGTTGGACAGGTCCCCCCCGCCTCCAGCCAGCCTGTGCAGACTTGCTGCCTGCTGTGTCACCGGGAACGCAAAGGCTGGGAAGAAGGCCCTTCTCAAAATGGACTGGTGTTGCAGGGTGAGAAGCTGCCCCCTGACTTCATGCCAAAGCTCGTCAAGAATCTCCTAGGCGAGATGCCTCTGTGGGTCTGCCAGAGTTGCCGAAAGAGCATGGAGGAAGATGAAAGGCAGACAGGTCGAGAACATGCAGTGGCGGTAGGTAACCACTGACAGGGGTCCCTGAATGCAGGAGGGCTGCCTTCCCAAGGAAGTCAGGCTGTTCCCTGTCCTCAGGTGGCTCTCCTTGGGCAGCTCCCATGCGCAGACACTGAGAGACTTCTGGGCTGCACTGGCACAGCATTGGCAGCTCAAGTTCAGATTTGGGGGAAGAAGAGAAACTTCTGGCAGCCCACCGGTCAGTCCCTCAGGGTGGTCTGCGCACAGGATGAGGGCCCACTCATAAGTACTGGTAGATCACGAGCCTGCTGTCTTTGGCTCTGTGGCAGCTTGAAGGACAACCAGTAAGACGTGGAAGACAGAGATGAGTCTGAGGGTCTGAAATGTGCCCTAGTTAGAAGGACAGACACCAGGGAGCCATCTAAGTCTGCTGTCTCATGAATCACGATGACCAGACTTTCCTTATTTCTCACGTCGCTGCAGATCTTCCCTTTTACCCAGGATCAGTTTAGCTTCAGGACTCCTGGCCAAAAGGCCCTTCCTGTCATTGGCAGCTCTCTACTCCCCAAAGGCCCGCAGTTCACAGGCAGTCTCTGCCCCTACCAGAGTCTCTCTCCCCAGTCTCCACACATTGCATGTAAGTGGGACCACCACAGCCCTTTCCCAGCAAAGGCCTGGCCCTCATTTGTTCTTATAGCTGGAGTTGTATTCATTGTGTTTTTGCTATGGCACATGGCCTGGAAGAGAAGGGGCTCCCTCAGCAAAAGCCGAGGCAGCAGAGGGTCAGCTCCGATGTTTGCTGTTTGACCATGAGCCTTTTTCCTCCCCCTTCTCCAGATCTCCTTGTCACACACATCCTGCAAATCACAGTCTTGTGGAGATGACTCTCATTCGTCCTCGTCTTCCTCTTCATCATCCTCATCCTCGTCCTCTTCTTCCTGCCCTGGGAACTCAGGAGACTGGGATCCTAGCTCATTCCTGTCGGCACATAAGCTCTCGGGCCTCTGGAATTCCCCACATTCCAGTGAGGCCATGCCAGGCAGCTCTCTTGGGAGTCCTCCTACCATTCCCGGTGAGTCTCCAGGCTCGGGAGAGAGCCAGGCCCTATACAGGTGGATAGCTGTGTTTTCCTGTCCACTTTGTTCAAACAAATCATGAGACTGGTTACTAAAATAAGTAAAAGTGGAACTGTTCTGGGGGAAGCAGGGGCAGCTTAGACCTTGACTATCTCTGGAACTCCTTTCCCCACAACTCTGAACTTGAAAAATACTGCTAGTAGAAAACCGTTTGCCTCTCAAAGTTGTCATTGGCTCTGGTAGTTGACATTGGATCAAGAGGGCACCCAGTGAGGTCTGAGTAGAAAGTGGAGTCGTAGGACTTAGATCACCTGACCCCTGCAGCACCACAGAGGATCTGGGCAACTGTGTCTTCCTAGGCCTTGATTTCCCCATCTAAGGGATGGGTATAAAAGCATTGTATTTAAATGCCCAAGAGATTGGCAGTATAAGCCGTAATGGTTATTAGCTAATTTAGCAGCTGTGTAAGTCTTCTTTGACTCTGAAATAACTCTCAGAGACCCAGAGACAAAACTCTTGGGTTATTGGTTTATTATGTAAATATGATTTACTGTCATACTTCTAAATGAAGGAGCTGAGTTCTTCAAAGTGGTACTGCCCCCAGAATTATGAGTGTTGAGCAGTATATAATTCCATTAGTTTTTGTACATAAGCTAGAGAGTCATCAGAACCTTTTTCCCACTTCTATGAAATCTGGGGCCCTCAGGGGTCTGGCGTGCCCTTTTGCTTTGCTGCACGTGGCACAGAGGCAGAGCCTGGGCCTGCTGCTCCACTGGCTTCTGCAGATCATCCTCCAGGCCTAAGGAGCACCTGTGTACAAGCAGATCCTAGAGAGACCCTGAGAGACAGAATATACATCCCCTGCTCATGCTACAGAAAAGGCATGGGGCCTTCTGTGGAATCAGCATTCCTAGTACCTTCTTGCTTGGGCCTGGGCTCCTTGAGCCCACTCAGCTGTGTTGCTGCCCACAGAATCTTCTCCAGCTCCAGGGTCCCCTGTGCTGAGAGGCTGTGCCCTCTGGTCACAGAAGCAGGATGCTGTGGCACTGAGCCTGTGGGCTTTCCTTCCCAGGTCTGGGCTCCTATTCTGACCCCTTTCTCCTTCCTCTGCCCACAGGTGAGGCTTTCCCCGTCTCGGAGCACCACCAGCACTCAGACCTCACTGCTCCCCCTAACAGCCCCACCGGCCACCACCCCCAGCCAGCATCTCTAATCCCATCTCACCCCAGCTCCTTTGGCTCCCCGCCCCACCCACACCTGCTGCCCACCACCCCGGCAGCACCTTTCCCTGCCCAGGCTTCAGAGTGCCCTGTTGCTGCTGCCACCGCCCCCCACACTCCAGGGCCATGTCAGAGCTCCCATCTGCCCTCCACCAGCATGCCACTCCTGAAGATGCCCCCACCATTCTCGGGGTGCAGCCACCCCTGCAGCGGGCACTGTGGTGAGCACTGCAGCGGGCCTCTCCTCCCACCCCCGAGCTCTCAGCCACCCCCTAGCACTCACAGGTAAGTGCGCTGCATGAAGGGCACACTCTCTACCCACTTGAACTTAGAATTGTGGACAATTTGGGGGTAACTTTGAGGTGGAAATTAAAGAGTAGACTATGTCTTTCCTTTCATTATTTTTCCAATTGTAAAGAAGTATGTATTTTGGCCTGGCACAGTGGCTCACACCTATACTCCCAGCGCTTTGGGAGTCCTAGACAGGAAGATCACTTGAGCCTGGGAGTTTGAGACCAGCCTGGGCAACGTGGCAAGACCCCCTTCTCTATAAAAAATTTTGAAAATTAGCTAGGCGTGGTGCCATGCAACTGTAGTCCTAGCTACTCAGGAGGCTGAGGCAGGAGGATTGCTTGAACCCAAGAGTTTGGGGTTCCTGTGAGCATTGATCATGCCACTGCACTCCAGCCCGGGTGACAGAGTTTTAAAAAAAAAAAAAAAAAAAAAAACTACTACGTGGGGTTTTTTTGTTTTGTATTTTGTTTTGTCTTTAACTTGGAACAATTCAGAAATGTATAAGGAAAAAAATGTCTTCACAACCTAAGCTTCTACCACTGTGGTATATTTTCACCATGTTTCTGTATATAAATAACATAATTAGATATCTGATATACCTTTCGTGTAGTAGTAATTTTTTAACATCATGTCATGATCATTTCCCCAGTTAAAATTCTTCAAGAAACTTTTCAATGGCCATATAATGTCTTACTGTATAGCTCAAGCATACTTTATCATTCCCCTGTTCCTGGACATGTAGGCATTTCCAGTTTAACCATGATGAATGAGACTGTAGTAAGCATCCCTGCACCTAAATCTGTTTGAATGAGAAATCATGTCCTTTGGGGAGATTCCTAGAAGTAACTCTAAGTACTGAGAAAGGTTATGCTAACATATATTTGAAAGATAATTCTTTGGAGAAGATAGAGGTATATTTTTATGTTAGAAATCAGATCTGTGTTTATCATGCGTTTCTATTTTCCTATTGGAAAGTCTCCTGTGTCTTGCACATGCTGGATTGACAGTGTCTGCAGTCTGCCACCCGCCGGTTTTCACTTAGTGTTGCCTCCTCAGCATATTTGTGTTCTGGTGTGGTGTTCTTAGCCCCAGCTTCAAAGGCTGGAGAACGTTGACCGCAGTTCATGTTATTGTTCTCCAGTTGCTGAGCATTTGGGTTTTTCCGACATTTTAACATTACCAACAGTGTCTCTAAATATGTCTTTGCTTAAAGCCTTTTCCCTCTTTTGGATTTTTCTTGTTGGAATCAAGTTCTCAGAATGAAAAAAGTTACTAGTTAAAGGCTGTTTAGGTGTTTTTTGTTCTTTTTGAGGGTTCTTAATACACATTGAAAAACTGCTATCCAAAGGGGTCTCCAAATTGATGTAACCACCAATGAGTGCTGGTTTCCCATATTTGCAGGCACACTATTTTAATTTTTCTAAGATCAATTTTGTGGCCTGGTGCAACAGCTCATGCCTGTAATCCCAGCAGTTTGGGAGGCCAAGGCAGAAAGATTGCTTGAGCCCAGGAGTTGGAGACTAGCAAGGGCAACATAATGAGACCCTGTCTCTACAAAAAAATTAAAAACTAGTGGGGCATAATATGCATGCCTCTAGTTCCAGCCACTCAGGTTGTGGGGGCTGAAGTGGGACAGGACCGCTTGAGCCTGGGAGATATAGGCTGCAGTGAGCTGACATCGTGCCACTGAACTCTACCCTGGGCAACAAAGTGAGAGCCAGTCTCAAAATAAAAAATAAAATCAGTTTTGCTGGCCAGGCACAGTGGCTCCTACCTGTAATCCCAGCACTTTGGGAGGCTGAGGCGGGCAGATCACGAGGTCGGGAATTCCAGACCAGCCTGGCCAGCATGGTGAAACCTTGTCTTTATTAAAAATACAAAAAAAAAAATTAGCCGGGCATGGTGGCGTGTGCCTGTAGTCCCAGCTACTTGGGAGGCTGAGGTAGGAGAATCGCATGAACCCAGGAGGCGGAGGTTGCAGTGAGCCGAGATTGTACCACTGCACTCTGTCCAGCCTGGGCAACAGAGTGAGACTCCGTCTCAAAAAAAAAAAAAAAATCAATTTTGCTAATGCAATAGATAATGAATGGTTGATTTAGAATAAACTTCTGTAACCACCACTGATAATGATTCCTGCCACCATGTTTTTTAATCCATGTCACATGCTTAGCATCCTTTCTAGTAGAGGGCTGCTTTGGACTGCCCTGGAAGCTGGACTTCCACACAGCTCCTTCGAGCGCCGTCCTTGCTCTCGGTTCCCTTGCAACCTCAGCCGCAGCCTAGCACTGGGACCAGCCCAATGGGTGCTTCAGCTGCTCATGGCCCAGCCTAAGGCTTCAGCTCTTCCTGGCTCAAATTATGGGATGTTTCAGGCATATGCCTCATTCTTACCCTGGGAAAATATTCTGTATTACAAGATATCCCAGTGCTTCCTGAAATCCAGAGGCAGAACACTACAGTGGAGAGAGTAGAGTTTTGCATAGAGAGAAACGTGGGCTTGAGTTCCCCACGTCTCCCCTGCCTGCACCCACCATGCACGCCTTCTCAGGGCACTATGCATACCTCACTTTATCCTCCTGTTTATCATGCATTATTGTCACGGTCTGTTTGTATCCTTGAGTCCTGGCCACCTGTTGGGCAAAGCAGTCAAGTACTCAGCTTCACTCTCCACCACTGCAAAGTGAGGATAATGACACTTATTTTGCAGGACTTGGGGGATGGTTAGACAATATGCCAAGGCTGGGCACGGTGGCTCACACCTGTAATCCCAGCACTTTGGGAGGCCAAGGCAAGTGGATCATGAGGTCAGGAGATCGAGACCATCCTAGCTAACACAGTGAAACCCTGTCTCTACTAAAAATACCAAAAAATTAGCCAGGCTTGGTGGTGGGCACCTGTAGTCCCAGCTACTCGGGAGGCTGAGGCAGGAGAATGGCATGAACCTGGGAGGTCGAGCTTGCACTGAGCCGAGATTGTGCCACTGCATTCTAGCCTTGGGCAACAGAGCGAGACTCCGTCTCAAAAAATAAATAAATAAATAAATAAATAAGATGCCGAATCCAGAACCTGGCACAAACAGTGGCTCTTATAGTTGGTGTCCCAGAAGTCACTCGCTTGTTCTCAACTCCATGCCCTGTGGTTAAGGCAGCTCCACCTACTGCTCCAGAGCACCAGAGTCTGCTCAGAAGCACCTTAGAAAGTGAAACGAGACTGACCTCATGGATAGCCCTGAGTGTTCCAGAGGAGCCATCAGCCCACCAATGGGTTCAGGCCTATTTACTGAGCAGCTGCTGTGTGCCGGGTTGTTATGCTACACACTGGGACCCAAAACTGAAGCAATACAGCCCCTGCCCTTGAGGCGCACAGTCCAGTTTAAGAGACACATGCGCAGACAGACCATGACCGTGAGGCACAGTAAGCAGAGGATGGAGTGAGGTGTGCACAGCAGCCTGAGAAGGGGTGCATGGTGGGTGCAGGCAGGGGAGGTGTGGGGAAACCTTTCCAGAAGAGCCACATTTGTGTTTGGGATGGGCCTTGAGGGACAGTGCAGGTGTTCGCCCTGTTCTGGTGAGAGGTGCAATGTAGTTGGACTGCCTGGGACCTCTGGAGTGGGGCAAGTGAAGGGCGGTCAGGACAGCAGGTGGTGGTTGGGATGCTTCCTGGGCTCCTGCATCACCCTCCCTCACCTCTGGGCCTTCCTCCCCATCATCAGGGATCCCGGGTGCAAGGGGCACAAGTTTGCACACAGTGGCCTGGCTTGCCAGCTGCCCCAGCCCTGCGAGGCAGATGAGGGGCTGGGTGAGGAAGAGGATAGCAGCTCTGAGCGAAGCTCCTGCACCTCGTCCTCCACCCACCAGAGAGATGGGAAGTTCTGTGACTGCTGCTACTGTGAGTTCTTCGGCCACAATGCGGTGAGTGAGCCTGCCCAGGCCAGAGAGGGCTAGGGGCCAGCCCAGGTGAGCAAAAGGAGCACACTGCTCTCCCCAGAGAGACCCTTTGCTCACGGTGGCGATTACCGCGCTGGGTCCATGAGTCCTTGCACCTGCGTCCGCTCGCTTGATCCTCACAGCACATTCGTGAGCTCGGGGTTTTTTAACATTTTGCTACCTTTGCTCTTCTCGTGGTTTCTCTTAAGATTGACTTTTTTTCCTTAGGCAAAAGGAAAGGAAATGGCAGAGAGAAAGCTATGATTCTGATGAGTATGTATACGTGTGTAATCCCAGAGAAGTGAACGCTTGGGCGTGATGAAGGCAGAGTGGAAGCAAAAAGGCTCTCAGTCCCCCAAGTGTGACAGCCAGCCGAGGGACAGGCCGTGAGCACAGACGGCGCCAGGAAGGAGGCTCAGATCAGAGGGCATGCTGGCTCTGGCCAGGGGGAGGAAGCAGTGCAGAAGTCTCATAAGGTGAAGAGGAGAGGGCCGCTGGTTAGGGTAGAGCAGTTGAGGATAGAAGAAATGAAAGTAATTAAATTGCTAGTCACCTTTGAGCTAGGGGTTATTATCCTCATTTTAGAGATGACAAAATTGAGGCTCACAAAGACTCAGTGACTCGCCCAAGGTCATACAGCTTCCCGGTGACGAAGCCCGGGCTCCAACTTGCTTTCCTGGCTCCCCAGTCAGTGTTTGCCCAGCTCTGCCCTGTTCCCTCCTAGTCCCTTCACCCACTGCCACCTGGGTTCAGCCTGGCTGACAGGGTGAAGCCATGTGGCCTTGGTGGCTAATGGTAGAGAGAACAGTTGTCTTGCTTCTCATCACATACTTGGTGCCAGCGGGTGGGAGTGCTATGGGCCTCCCAGGCCCAGGGTGTAATGTCAGCACCTCCCCCCCCACCAGCCGCCCGCTGCCCCGACGAGTCGGAACTATACCGAGATCCGGGAGAAGCTCCGCTCGAGGCTGACCAGGCGGAAAGAGGAGCTGCCCATGAAGGGGGGCGCCCTGGGCGGGATCCCTGGGGAGCCCGCCGTGGACCACCGAGATGTGGATGAGCTGCTGGAATTCATCAACAGCACGGAGCCCAAAGTCCCCAACAGCGCCAGGGCCGCCAAGCGGGCCCGGCACAAGCTGAAAAAGAAGGTGGGTGTAGGGAGAGCCCAGCTCTGCCATCTCTCCTCCCTGAGGACCCTCGCCCCAACCCCCAGGACTTCTGGGGCGTGAATGATGCTGGCTGCCAAAAGCCTCAGCTTGGCTCACTGTTCTGGGAAGGTCTGAATGAGTCGGGGAGGCATCAGGGTCAGGGAGCCTGGGGGCAAATAACTGGAGGAAAAAACGTGTCGTGGCCTGAGAAGCTGCTTGCTGGATTCCTCCAAGCTGAGGACTTGCTTCAGTCATGTATTCATTCAGCAAACACTTCTACAAATACTGGCAGCCAAAGTGTGACACAGTTAAGTTCTCACCCAGGAGAAGCTGCCCAGTGGGGAGACTGACACAAAACTGGACAAGCATATTAGCATGTGACAAGTACTGGGATGAGGGAAGTCCCCCATCCTGCCTGGAAATGGCTTTACAAGAGGCTGACTGTGAGTACAGACTCCTCAGGAGGGCCGTCCTGGCAGCAGGCATGGCACATTCCACAGCAGCTTGACAGCCAAAACTGAGCAGAAGAGAGGCGGGATGGACACTGTTGAGGGAGGGCCCTCGAGGCCCTGTGGAAGAGCTCTGGCTTTATCCTACCAGTGAGAGAAGTCACTGAGGGTTTTAATCAGAGAATGCAGTTGGTCACACGTGCATCCTAAGATTATGGCATGGCCAAATGGAAGGTAGCTTGGAGGGTTCCAGGCGGGAAGACCTTGAGTTCGATGCCTCAGGCAGGAAATGCAGGCCAAGGGAGTGATGATTGATAGTGGGGCCAGAGAAGAAGAGAGGGATTTTCAGAGAAAGCCGAAGTGATGGGCCTTTGATCTGATGGCAGGAGAGGGAGATGGAGGCAGGGATGTCTCCCAGGTGTTTGCTTGGTGACCAGCAAGATGGTGGTACCTTTCACTGAGCCAGGATGGGATTTGCAGAAGACAGTGAATTCAGTTGAGGCATGTTGACTTGAAGGTTCCTGTGAGACATCTCAGAGGAGAAGTGCAGGGCTAGCATTTACCAGCACAGAGATGTAATTGAAGCCAGGGGAATGAACCAGTCCTCGGGACTGAGGACAGAACCTGGTGAACCATTCCTGGGCAGCCTTCCTGCCAGATGAGCCCCGGAGCTTGATGGCTTGTCCTTTGTGGCTTCATTACCTGTTCACCTGCCTACTCCCAACTGCATCTGCACAGTGACACGCTTGGGAGCCCAGCATCCGAAGAGATTTGGGTGTAACAACCAGCTAGTTCCAGTTCCTGGGTGGTCAAACAGCCCTAGTGCTTTGGAAAGCAGAAGTGATTCACCATCCTTTTTCAGCCCCAAGGACAACCAGGATCCTGCTCCTGCCGCCTGAAGTAGTGAGCCAAGGGGTCCCACCGCTGCCTTCTGAAAGGGGTCAGCACTATCTTTCTCCCATGCAGAATCACCCAGCCAGAAAGGTTCAGTGGGCTGCAGCAGTCTCTGGCCTTTCCTGGCTTCTTAGGGCAGTGCCTCCCAGTTAAGTCCCCAGAGAGCACACCTGGCAGTTCCCAAGTCTGGTGTGCTTTTCATAAATATGTGTGCCCACATGTCTCTTCCCCTTTACTGATAATGCTATCTTCTCTCACCTTTTCTTCTGACAAACTTTCCTTCCAAGTTCAGTTCAGCTGTTTCCTCCTTCATAGCCATCCTTGGGTAACTTCCACTGTACTCCCATCCCACTTCACGTATCTGGAGGCTCTGCTCACTCATCCCACACTGCACAGCTCCTGTCTGGCAGGCCCAGGTGGAACCAGGCAGCCCTCCCTTTCCAGACTTAGTCGTGGGGCTGCAGGCAGGGACAGACACGCAGTGGCAGTGGCATGCATTAAGTGATTATGGTCATTATCTCTGTAGACAGCAGCCTTCTCCCTTGTCTCCTTCCACCTCCTGGACTTCACAGTCTGGCTCTCCACGAAAGCCCAGCTGCTCCTCTCCTGCCTCAGGAGATGGACAGAGCTCAGTGTCTCTCTGTCCCTTCTCCCACTGCCAGCCCGTGACTCTCTCACCTTGTCTTTGTGTCTTCTGTCTACACGAAGGTGAGAGAGTCACGGGCTGGCAGTGGGAGAAGGGAGCAGAGAGACGCTCACCCTGGTTCTTAAAAACTGCACCCCTGGCTCTGTCATCTGTGACCTCCTGGCCACTCCTCCACATCCACTGAAGACTCTCCTCCCCCTTTCTCTTCTTCCCAGGCCAGTCCGTTCCTCACTCACTTGAATGGAGTGAGTATTGTAAGTATTGGTAGGCGGGCAGGCAAATTACCCATCTCTCACTCACTCACCAGTACTCAGTTCCTTGTCCCGCTATCTTTCTTTCAGACCCACTCAAACACCACAGCCCTGGGTTCCACCCCAGCCTGGCTCTCCCTTTCTACAGCTCAAGAAAAGCATGTGGGTGAATCTGTGGCAGGCGGCCATGTGGGTGGGCTTCTGCTTGCTGAGCTCCCGTGTCACAGGCGGGCCTCTCATGGTTCCCTGGGCTTCCTGTGCCTTAGCACGTCCATTCCCCACAGTCCTTCTGTCAGGCCTCCAGTCTTCTCAAACCACTAGACCTTCCCAGCCCACACCTTATTTTTTGTCAAATAACCTCACTTTCGATTTCAATGAGGAAAAAAGCCATGGTACAGGGATTCTCCCACTGTTTTGCCATTCCCACCTGCAAACATACTTTCTTCCTTGTCATGAGAGTCAACCTTTTCCTGCCTAAGGCCCGTGCAGTACTTTCTTGACCCCTCAGCCCAGCAGTAGGCTCCTGGTCTAGCTTAGCCTCTCCTCTGTGCTGTTCCCATCCACATTTCATTGTGCCCATCACTCTGTTTTTTGGAAGCAAACTGCTCCCTGAGACTGTTACCTCTCTCTCAACCCCTCTCCAGCCTCTTTCCTCTCATCACAGCCACATTTCTTGAAAAATGATGTCTGCATTCACTGTCTTCACTTCCACCCATTAGCTCACTGCAGACTGTTTTCTACCCACACCCTCTCCAGAGTCACTGGTGACTTTTTTGTTGCCAAATCCATCCTGCTCTCCTGTTCCTGTCGTATTCGTCCACTAGAGAATAGCTGGCATTTTGTGTGTGTTCTCCTTTTCACGCATTGTCTTTGGCTCCTCTGACCTCAGCCAGGCAGGAAAGGGAAGGGGGAGTATCATGTTCTCCAGATGTCTTGCCTGCCTCTGACATCCTTTCTGTCTCCTGTGTGAGCTCCTCTTCCTCCACTTGACCCTCCTTCATGGGGACATCTCCCTGGGAAAGAGAGATGCCATCTAGAAAGAGCCAAATAGTGTTTCCTTCCCGCCCTGCACATCCACGTCTCCAACTGCTACTGGACACCTCCTCGTGGATGTCCCACAGGTATCTCAGACTCCACACATACAAATTTCAGCTTGTTGTCTTTCTCCAAACAGGCCTGCTATCCCTTCTCTGTTGTCTCTCTAGTCAGTGGCACCGCCTCCCACCCTGTTGCCTGAGCCGGAGTTCTGGGCGCCAGCCTGGGGAGTGCATTATAGCAACCCGGAGCAGCGTGCCTGGAACTGGATCTCAGTTTGACACTTGGCTCAGCCACACTTGCTGTATGACATTGGGCAAATCACTTAACCTCTAAGCCTCAGTTTCTTCATCCATAAAATGAGAATAACAGAACCTAAGTCATAGATTATTGCGAGGATGAAATGGAGCAATGCATGGAAAGATTGGGCAGAGTGCCTGGCACGTGTGAGTGCTCAGGCAGTGGGGCTGCTGTGGCAGCCATAGTGGCCGTCAATGTTTCTCTGACTCTTCTCATTCTGTCTCCCTACCCATCACCAAAAGCCCTATGCATGCCACGTCGCTGATAGGTCAGACCCGTCCACTGCTCTCCACCCTACTGCCACTACCTTAAAAGCCATTAGTAGCTGGACACTGCCCTCAGGCACAAACTCTGTAGGGCCTGCAGGGCTCTTCACGATCAGCCCCTGCCAGCTTGCCAGCTTTATCTCTCAGCCTCTCCTTTCTGACCTTTCTACCCACCTGCCCCACCCAACCCCCACATCCCCCAAAAAATCTGGGCTACAGCTATACTTTTAAATGATTTGCATTCCCAGAAGATACTGAGCTTTCCCATTTCCGGCCTTTCCGCTTGCTATTCCTTCTCTCTAGAAAATGCTTGTCCCACTGCCTCCAGGATGATCCCACTCCCCCTTCAGTGCTCAGTGCAGATCCTGCTGCCTCCAGGAAGCACTCCCTGGTGACCCAGTCTGGGTTGGGAGCATCTCCTCTAGGTTCCCAGATCACCCTGTGCTTCCTTCCATGCAGCATTTGTCACTGTCACTCTGAATTCAACAGGCTGTTTGCTGTTGTCTCCCTCAGCAGACTAAAGTCAGCGAGGCAGAGAATGTCTCACATACGCTAAACTCACAGGGCCTGGCCTGCTGCCTCACAGCCTCAATGGTCAGTAAATGGTCATCAGATGGAATTGAGAAACATAGGAACTTCTGAAGATCAGGCCTGGGTGTATTGTCCTGGCTCTGCCACTTCCTAGCCGCCGCCGCCTCCTGTTCTTTCCAAAGTCGAGGTTTCTCACCTATAAGCAGAGGGTCATGATGCAGCAAAGACAGTGGCGAGGATTAAAGGAGACATCTATGGGAAGTGCTCACGGTACAAAGCAGAAAGTGTGTGTTTCTGTGCTTTCTCCTCTTGATACCAGAGTGTATATGGTTCCATGTCATTCCCTCCACACCAGTAGTCAGACTTTTTGTTTTAGTAGCAAAACTTTGTGAAATCTGTGTGGTGCTGGGGGAGCGAGGTGAAGGGCCCTTGGTCCTCGTTGGTCTAACCCAGGGCTTCTGAGCCCTACCCACAGCTAGAAAAGCTGCTCCCTGCGGGCCATGAAGCCCAGCCCCACCTTTGTGGGAAAGGACCCCACACAGACTCTCAGCTGTCCTCAGTGTGACCCTGGAATATAGAGTACCTCTTCCTCCTAACTTACAAATAGGGAAAGTAAGGTTCAGAAAGAATAAGTGATTTGTCCAAGGTCCCACAGAACAATCGACTGTAGTCCATTGTGGAGCCAGGATTCACAAAAGATAAGTGCCTGCCTGGTGGGACGCAGGGCCACCCTCTTTACATTGACTCTGAGGTGGTAGCAAGCCCTGGTTTCTCTCACCAGCTGCCCTTTCATGTTCTTTTCCTCCATTCCCAAATCAGCTGGAAGTACAGGAGGCAGTGGGAATCAGTGGTGCCAGGCACACCACAGCCACCTCCTTCCCGAGGGTTTTGGTATCTGCCTCCTGTCTCCCTCTAAAGGCGTCGTTGGCCTTGAGGTGGGATGGCGAGGTTGGGGTGACTCAGATCCCATAGACTTTCATTTTGATTCCCTAGATCCAGGTCTATCAAAGCCAACCAGCAGGGCCTGGCCTCTCTGAGCCTTCCAGGCCTCACCTGGGCAAAGGAGCAGCTCTCACATCTTGGCTGTGTAGGCCAGTGTGGTTGTCCATGGCATGCCATTGGGCACACTCTAGATGTGGCCTTGATTACTTGAGACCAAGTGTGTAGCAACTGGCCTTTCTATGGGAACACTGTCCTCTTTAGTAATACCCAGATATGGTATCAGGAAGGCACATGTCCTCCCAACCAGAGCAGTCTCATCTACCCCCACACCTGCCTGCTGTAAGACCCCGTGATGGCATGGCTTTTTCCCTACCAAGCGCAGGGGTAGAGAGAATGCCTCTCTAGTAGTGGTCTTCTTCACATGCATCCCCACTTTGGCTTTACTCCGAAATTATTGTCCGCATTTTGCAGATGAGTCCACTGAGACTGGGGCTCTGGGTAAACAAGCTGTAAAAACCCTACCCTCTGTGGGCGTGACTGTACCCCTGCCCCCAGGACATGCACCTATCTGGCTGCAGTTTGCTGTCACTCCTGCAGGGTGGGTAAGCAGGCTAGGATTTTAAGGCTTTGCCTCCAGCAAGTTAGTGGCAAAGCTGGGCCCCAGGCTGATGGGTCAGGTATCACATTGTGCCTGGCAGTTGACAGCCCCTGCTAAAACTGCCTCTTGTCTTGGCAGGAAAAGGAGAAGGCCCAGTTGGCAGCAGAAGCTCTAAAGCAGGCGAATCGTGTTTCTGGAAGCCGGGAGCAAAGGCCTGCCAGGGAGAGGCTCTTGGAGTGGCCCGACCGGGAACTGGATCGGGTCAACAGCTTCCTGAGCAGCCGTCTGCAGGAGATCAAAAACACTGTCAAAGACTCCATCCGTGCCAGCTTCAGTGTGTGTGAGCTCAGCATGGACAGCAATGGCTTCTCTAAGGAGGGGGCTCCTGAACCCGAGCCTCAGAGTCTACCCCCATCAAACCTCAGTGGCTCCTCAGAGCAGCAGCCTGACATCAACCTTGACCTGTCCCCTTTGACTTTGGGCTCCCCTCAGAACCACACGTTACAAGCTCCAGGCGAGCCAGCCCCACCATGGGCAGAAATGAGAGGCCCCCACCCACCATGGACAGAGGTGAGGGGGCCCCCTCCCGGTATCGCTCCCGAGAACGGGCTCGTGAGGAGACTCAACACCGTGCCCAACCTGTCCCGGGTGATCTGGGTCAAGACACCCAAGCCGGGCTACCCCAGCTCCGAGGAGCCAAGCTCAAAGGAAGTTCCCAGTTGCAAGCAGGAGCTGCCTGAGCCTGTGTCCTCAGGTGGGAAGCCGCGGAAGGGCAAGAGGCAGGGCAGTCAGGCCAAGAAGAGCGAGGCAAGCCCAGCCCCCCGGCCCCCAGCCAGCCTAGAGGTTCCCAGTGCCAAGGGCCAGGTTGCTGGCCCCAAGCAGCCAGGCAAGGTCCTAGAGCCTCCCAAAGTAGGCAGCTGTTCCGAGGCTGGAGAGGGGAGCCGGGGGAGCCGGCCAGGACCAGGTTGGGCTGGCAGCCCCAAAACTGAGAAGGAGAAGGGCAGCTCCTGGCGAAACTGGCCAGGCGAGGCCAAGGCACGGCCTCAGGAGCAGGAGTCTGTGCAGCCCCCAGGCCCAGCAAGGCCACAGAGCTTGCCCCAGGGCAAGGGCCGCAGCCGCCGGAGCCGCAACAAGCAGGAGAAGCCAGCCTCCTCCTTGGGTGAGTGCACCAGGAACCGAGCGGCTGACCCCTACCCCAGCCAGGCCACGGGGTGGAGGGGCAGCCTTTGTGTGTAGGCAGTGCTGCCCCCAGAGCATAACCCCAGAGGCCTGGCCATGGGCACTGAGCCCTCCTGGCTGTGTCTTCCTAGACGATGTGTTCCTGCCCAAGGACATGGACGGGGTGGAGATGGATGAGACTGACCGAGAGGTGGAGTACTTTAAGAGGTAGGTGTGGGCTGCCTGCTCTCCCACTTGTGGAGGACTCCAGGTCCTGCCCACACTCAAGCCCCGTGTTGTGTCTCAAGCCTCAAAAAGGTCTGCTCCCTTGGCCCTGACCCCTTGGGGAGGCTCACCGCCCCCCACCCCAGGCCCTCTCCCACCAGCCTGCCTGCTGAAAATCCACGGAGCAACTGGGCAGGATGGCGCATCTAGGAATGTGCAAGAGAGACAGGAGGAGGCATGCATATAAGAGCCATGCAGGTTATATGCATGTCAGGCCCCCAGAACCAGGACTTTTTCCAGCTATGTTCACTTTGTGTCTTCACTTGCACATTCTCTGCTTTGCCTGGGCTGAGGTCAGTGAAGCAGTCTGGACCAGGAGTCTAGATGGCCATGAACATGCAGCCTACTGATACATGGCATAGGGCTGGGGAGGATAGAAGGGGTGGGGGCTGGCCAGGAGGCCTTCCCAGGAGAGGTGGTAACCAAGTTGAAACCTGAAGAGTAAGAATGAGTTGGCCAGACAAGATGAAAAGGTATTCATGCCAAGGGGGGCAGTGAGTACAGAAGATTAGGGTGAAAGAAACACAGCATACAGTCACCCTCCATATCTGCAATCAAAAATATTCAGGAAAAAAAAAAATAGCAATACATTACTAAATAATGCAAAATTTTTAAAATTAGTATTTTTGGCCAGGCACAGTGGCTCATGCTTCTTACTCTAGCACTTTGGGAGGCCAAGGCGGGCAGATCACCTGAGGTCAGGAGTTCAAGCCTGGCCAACTTGGTGAAAGCCTGTCTTTACTGAAAATACAAAAATTAGGCAGGCATGGTGGCACGTGCCTGTAATCCCAGCTACTCAGGAGGCTGAGGCAGGAGAATCGCTGGAACCTGGGAGGCAGAGGCTGCAGCGAGCTGAGATTGGGCCACAGAGCAAGACTCTGTCTCAAAAAAACATGTATTTTTACAGGCGTTGGCTCATGCCTGTAATCTCAGCACTTTGGGAGGCCAAGGGGGGCGGATCACTTGAGGTACTTGAGGTCAGGAATTTGAGACCAGCCTGGCCAAAATGGTGAAACCCTGTCTCTAATAAAAATCCAAAAATTAGCCAGGCATGGTGGCGGTGCCTGTAATCCCAGCTACTTGGGAAGCTGAGGCAAGAGAATCGCTTGAACCTGGGAGTCAGAGGTTGCAGTGAGCCAAGATTGTTCCATTGCACTTCAGCCTGGGTAACAGAGTAAGACTCTGTCTCAAAAATAAATAAAAATAAAAATATAACTACATAGCATTTACATTGTATTAGGTATTTTAAGTAATCTAGAGATGATTTAAAGTATATGGGAAGGCCAGGCACAGTGGCTCCCGCCTGTAATCCCAGCACTTTCGAAGGCCAAGGTGGGAGGATCGCTTGACCTCAGAAGTTCAAGACCAGCCTGGGCAATATAGTGAGACCCCATCTCTTATTAAAAAATAATAATAATAATAAAAGTATATGGGAAGAGCCATGCAGGTTATATGCAAGTACTACACCATTTTTTATTTAAGGGACTTGTGCATCTGCAGATTTCGACATCTGGGTAGCTAATCCCCAGCAGATTCAGAGGGACGACTGTACTTAAGGGAATGATGGAAGCCAGCCCAGCAGAGCTAGAGAGTCAAATACCAGATGAGGAAGGAAGTAGAATCCCAAGGCAGTTTCACTGTCTTCATACGTTGTCCCCTGGACCCAGTCCAGAAGCCACCAAGCCAGCAAAGCTCCTATGCCTGCTAAACACTAACACCTGAGAGCCAAAGAGGTTGTGTAGAGAACCTGGTTTCTTAGTGATGGGGACTTGGTACCTTAGGAGTCCAGTGAGGAAGAGAAGGAACCTCTGATTGTGCTCCTGTGTCCCCCAAACCCAACAGGTTCTGTTTGGATTCTGCAAAGCAGACTCGTCAGAAAGTTGCTGTGAACTGGACCAACTTCAGCCTCAAGAAAACCACTCCCAGCACAGCTCAGTGAGGTACAGAGATCCCAAGAGTTACATCCACTGCCTCTCCCTGTGCTTGGCCACACTCTATACCCCCGCCAGACCATTCTGTGCTCTGGGGCATAGGGAGTTGGGCTTTGGGCATGGGAGCCCTGGCCTCTGTCTGCACCTCCACAGCAATGGCACAGTTGGCTACAGCCTCCAAAGATCTAGGCCCCATCTCCTCCTACAGCCACTCACCTGTAGGCCTCTGTTCTCCTATTACTCCTCCCTGGGCCCTCCTGCCCATGCTCCTGAAGGTCCCCTTCCTGGACTGGCATCTCCTAGGGCATCACCAGCAGGGTCTTACCAGCTGCTTTCAAAAGTGCCCAGATAGCCATCAGACCCATGGGGGCTGTCCTCACCCCTGATGTTATCAGTCCTTGTGTCAAGTCCCACTTCCTGCCCTGGGCTCCTCAGTGTAGGCTACCAAGGTGCTTCCTAGCTGAAGCAGTGTAAGAAGGGGCCAGCCCTGAGTGAACATCGTGGGGGTGCAGATGGGCTGGGCCGAAGGCTTGTAGGTCATTTAGGCATGGAGGAGTTGATGGCAGCTCCCCAAAGCAGGACAAGTTCCATGAGGATATTGGTAGCCACACTGCCTCCTATAAGAAGAGACCTGGGTGCCAAATGGCTTTGGAATCCTCTCCCAGCCACCCACACAGGTCCTTTTGTCTGAAACAATGATGTACCAGATGATGATCTGGACTGGAAACAGAAAACTGGAGAAGGCACTGGGCCTGGAACCTTACTGACGAAGAGAAGGGCAGCTAGCAGGCAGGCCTTAGGCTGGGCTGGGGGCTGAGTGGCTCTGCAGTTTCATATCTCAATCCTCAGCTGCGTCCCTGGGGTCAGGCCTTTTCTGGCTGGCAACCACATAGCTGTCCTGGAGACTATAGAAGGCTGGGGCAGGCAGACCGAGCTCACAAACAACTCGCTTCTCCTATGATGGCCCCACCTGTCTTTCTCCTCTTTCCAGTGCCAGGCCAGCTCCTCTCTGGGCCTAAGCAGCAAACTTCCTGGACCCTTAGCTCCCCAAGGGCAGCTCAGAGAGCCTGCAGCCAGGACAGCCTTCAGAGCTAGGGCTCCCTGTGACCCTTGTGCCGCCCCAGAGTCCAGAGTCTTTATGCTCACTTTAGTTCTCCTCTGCTCGGAGGGGGCTGGGCTCAGTCAGCCCCCTTTGCCAAATTGAGATGCCCACAAGCCCCAGAAGCATCTTCCAGATCCAGGGTGCCATCCCGCCTCTCTTCTCCACCTCCATGGGAATCAGGAGTAGCAGGAACCCCAGGCACTTCCTCTGTTATCCCTACTGAGAGAAAAGAGATCGCGTCTCCTCCTACAAGCCCAGTTCTGTCATCCAAGAAATCAAACGCAATTGTCTCCTTCCACTCCCTCCTCTTGACCCTTTTTCACCTGGTCTGGCCTCTTTTCCAAGATAGCAGATGCCCCTCTCCCCACCCCCTAGAAAGTGCTCTCCTTTGACCTTCTTCACCCTCCCCCGGGCTGTGTACCTGGAGTCAGAGGCAGGAGCACAGCTGCAGAGCTGGCCTCCTGGCCCCTGCTGATGGACAGCAAGTGCCAAAGGCTGGATCTACTCAAGGATTGTCCCACACCTTGTCAGGATCCCAGGACTGGGGCTTTGTCTCCCAACCCATTAACCTGCCTCCTCTGCTACAGGTGATTCAGGGAATCTGTTCAACATTTTCAGCCCAGGGAACAAAAATAGCCAGCTGTTCCTGCTACCAGAGACCCATGGGTACCCGAATGGCATGGGGAGGCTGGAGCACGGGCCGTCGCTTACTGTGATTCTGCTCTTTTTTTCTTTCTCAGGCCCTGCCCAGGCTGAGCTTCTTCAGGGCGTCCTGAGGCCCTGACTGCCAGCTGAAGGCCTACAATTTTTCTGTGTGCCCCACCTACCCGCCCAAGACCTTCTCTGCTCCCCACCATCCTGGACCAACCAAAAGCTGAACGGATGCCACACTGTGCTGGGGCCCCTTGACCTCAGCAGAGCCGCTTCCTGGTGCTACGCAGCCTCCACACTCAGAGCCCGTGGACTGGGCTGGCCTAAGGGCCGGGGCTGATGGTACTGCTAGCCCAACACTGCTCTCTTTGTGTTCAGTTTTTTTGTTTTTGTTTTTATTTTATTTTTTTCCAATTCTTTACTTTTGATACTGTGAAGATCTTTCATGCCGAAAGATAAAGCAACATTTGGACACAGAGTTGGCATGTTGGTGATTTGCGGGTCTGGGCGGGGAGGGAGTCGAGGGTGTGCTCAGAAGCATGGGCTCTCCCTTAGTCACTAACCCTAGCATGTGCCATGCATCAGCAGTTTGGTACTGCTGTCCCATTTTACAGGTGAGGAAACTGAAGCCAATAGGAAAGTGACTGAGCTGAAATCAGTCTAGCCGATTAGGCTCGAGCACAGGCTGGTATGACTCTGGCATCTATGCCCTTTTCTCCTGTTGGGAGGTCTCTGGTATGTGAGCCTAGGGCAGTCCCTTCCCCACTCTTTCTTGTTTCCCCCTTTGCAAGATGGGTGAGTTGGAGGGGTTGAAGTTGGTCTCGGTGCATCTGGATGTCAGAAGAGGTCTAGGAAAGACCCTGAGGATCTGTAGCCTGGGCCATCAAGGCCCCTCACACTGACTTCACACAGTCAGGGGAAGTTGGGGGTAAGTTGAGCTTTTTTTATAAATTAGATCTGATTAGGCCGGGCGTGGTGGCCCAAGCCTGTAATCCCAGCACTTTCGGAGGCCGAGACGGGTGGATCACAAGGTCAGGAGATCGAGACCATCCTGGCTAACACGGTGAAACCCCGTCTCTACTAAAAAATACAAAAAACTAGCCGGGCGAGGTGGCGGGCGCCTGTAGTCCCAGCTACTCAGGAGGCTGAGGCAGGAGAATGGCGTGAACCCGGGAGGTGGAGCTTGCAGTGAGCTGAGATCCGGCCACTACAGTCCAGCCTGGGTGACAGAGCAAGACTCTGTCTCAAAAAAAAAATAATAAATAAAAAATAAATAAATTAGATCTGATTTTCCAGTGGGGGTGGGACATGTAGCTAAGGACTTGAGAGTTAAGAGGATAATGAACTCTTATGTAAAGTCAAGCAAACTACCTCATCCCCCGAAATGGATCTGGTTTGTAAATTTGGATTTTAATATTATGAGTTTGCCCAAAATGCCCCTCACACACTTGTGTCCAAACTCCATGCCCCAAAATTTAGTTTCTGCTCCTAAAACCAACTCAAATTTATGTGGGGAGCTAACAGGGTCACTAAGAGTCATGTATTTGGGTGTTGTGAGCAGGACCAGAAACCATGTATCCTCCTCCATCCCTCCCAGGTTGAGACCTACCAAGGGACTGGCAGTAAGCACCAGCTTCTTTATTTTTTTTTTACAGAGATGGGAGGTGTTGCTATGTTGTCCAAGCTGGCCTCGAATTCCTGGCTTCAAGTGATCCTCCTGCCTTGGCCTCCCAGAGAGCTGGGATTACAGGAACGAGCCACTGTGCCCAGCCTAAGCTTTCTTTACTAAAGAAAAGAATAGCAGTGCCCACAGACTCACAATTCCTGGTCCCTGGTCTTTCCCAATCCCCAAGGGAAATGTGGACGCTGTGAAACCCCTGTGAAACCTTTCTCTGTAAATTTATTGGCTGTGTTCCCCTCTCCCATGGGCTCTTGTACTACACTCCTGCCCTGCAGTTGAATTGGCAACACTACCTAAAATTCTGCTTCATTCAAAATTTGCAGGTCTGATCAAGCAGCCCATCTACCATGACTTCTGTGGCATTTGGGACCTTCGTGCCTGGGCCCCTGACTCCAGTACTTGTTCCAGCCATGCTGGACGACCTTCCTCTCCAGTAAGGTCTCACAACCGCAGGTCTCCCAACTTTCACATATTTTCCTCCTCCTTTAATTTTCCCCATTTTTCATGAATTCCTGTGTATCCTTCATATCCCAGCTAAGAGGCCATTGTACTATGAAAACTATGACACTTCCAAAAGCGGTACCTTGTCTTAGGTTTTTTGTTTGTTTGTTTTGAGATGGAGTCTTGCTCTGTCGCCCAGGCTGGAGTGCGGTGGCACCATCTCGGCTCACTGCAAGCTCCCCCTTCCGGGTTCACACCATTCTCCTGCCTCAGCCTCCCGAGTAGCTGGGACCACTGGCGCCCGCCACCACGCCCAGCTAATTTTTTTATTTTTAGTAGAGACGGGGTTTCACCGTGTTAGCCAGGATGGTCTCGATCTCCTGACCTCGTGATCCGCCCGCCTCGGCCTCCCAAAGTGTTGGGATTACAGGCGTGAGCCACCGCGCCCGGCCCCCAGAATCTTTAACTTCAAGACTAGTTATCTGTATATATTTCTAGTGTCAACTAATCCATAAGCTCCTCGCACACCAGGTATGTGTCTTGATTATCATCTGCTTGAGCGCAGTACCAATGCCCAGCACACACTTTTGAAGGAAAGAAAGCACAGAGCTGACCAAGTCATTCCTCCTTAGAAGTCTCTAATATTAAAGTTGAAACCACTTACTCTGAGAGTCACAGCAGGTATGCTCTGGTCGCAATCTCCTTTTCTGGCCTTAGCTCCGGCTTCCCCATCCCACCCTAGCCGCAATGCTGTTGCCTGGTGAATCTGTGTACTTGCACATCGCCAGACCTGTATTCCTGCAGCGCCCTGGCCCAGGACGCCTCTCCTCTCCCAGCCTGAGATTCCCACGCTTCCCTGGAAGCGCCCCCCAGGCAGCTCTGTTAGGACATTTACAGTAATAACCGTTTACATTTATACAGGGCCTCCCAGTTCAAAACCACTGCCATCCGTTTCTGATGCGTCCCCCAGCACTGAACATAGGTGTCACACAGGCGCAGTCAGGGCGGCAGGGTGCGTGGAGCGGTTTATCCCGCAACCCCGGCGGCCCTGGCAGGGATGGAAGCGCAGGCAGCCCACGCGGACTCGGCCCAGCGCTCCCGGCCCTAGAGGACGCACTGTCCGCCGGTAGGGGCGTGCCCAAGACGCCATGCTCAGGGAGAGGTTGGGCACCCAGCGGCCCGCCCCGACTCCGGATCAGCGGTCTTCGCTGCGTGCGTCTTCCTCTTCCGGTGGGCCTGGGTTGAGCCTTTTAGCGCATGCTCCAAGTCCTCCGGTGTCCCACAATGCCTTGCGGCTGGTTTCGCCCTCGGTCCTGGCAACTGTTGCGTAACCACCCAGGAAAGCGTCGACGCTTCGCCGTGCGAGAGCAGCTCCGGAGCAAATTTGTCCCTCTGCGCGATCCGGAACTCCGAGGTCGTTGCTAGGCGCCGACGTTCGCTTCTTCACATCGGATTGGGTCCCACGCAAAGATGAGGCGGGGTTTCGCCGTGGCGCGCATGCGTGCAGCAAAGAATGGAGGAGTCGGAACCCGAACGGAAGGTAGGAGAGAGGTGAGGCTTCTCGCGGGTGAGAGCGGGCGTGAAGTGGGGAGCAGGCCGTGCCTGACTTACGTATGCTTGCAGCGGGCTCGCACCGACGAGGTGCCTGCCGGAGGAAGCCGCTCCGAGGCGGAGGATGAGGACGACGAGGACTACGTGCCCTATGTGCCGTTACGGCAGCGCCGGCAGCTACTGGTGAGGGGCCCGCGTCCGGGGAGGGATGGGGCCGTGACCGCCGGTCGTAGGGAGGGCAATCTGAGGAGTGAGCTTCAGTACACCGGGGCGCGGCCCCCAGACAAACGAGGGACCGACGGCCTGATCTGAGGGGTAGGGCGGTTCTGCGCCTCGGGCACAGGATCCTCGTCCCAAAGCCAGGATCCTGACGCTGGGCCTGTGGACCCCATTCCCGTTCTATCTGTGGGTCCCGGGTGGAACCTCAGCTCCAGAAGCTGCTGCAGCGAAGACGCAAGGGAGCTGCGGAGGAAGAGCAGCAGGACAGCGGTAGTGAACCCCGGGGAGATGAGGACGACATCCCGCTAGGCCCTCAGTCCAACGTCAGCCTCCTGGATCAGCACCAGCACCTTAAAGAGAAGGCTGAAGGTGGGCTGGGCAGCACTGCCGGGGCGGGAAAGGAGAAGCCGAGCCTGGCGCACCGTGTTGGTATCTGTCTGACATCTTCCACTTCTTTTCTCAGCCCGCAAAGAGTCTGCCAAGGAGAAGCAGCTGAAGGAAGAAGAGAAGATCCTGGAGAGTGTGGCTGAGGGCCGAGGTATGGTTGTAGCCAGGATAGTGAGGAGGTAGACTGAGTCTCCTCCTCTCAGCCCCAGGCATGTTATAGCTCAAGGGATCTGGCTTCTCAGAAGTAGGAGCCAGCCCTGAGCCATGTCTTTCTCCTCAGCATTGATGTCAGTGAAGGAGATGGCCAAGGGCATCACATATGATGACCCCATCAAAACCAGGTATGTTTGTACAGTCTGCAGTTGCCCTTGCTTAGGATGGTACATGCAATGGGTTGCTCCCAGGCCAGCTGTTCCCAGAGCTCTCTTGATCCCTGTTACCCATCCACAGCTGGACTCCGCCCCGTTATGTCCTGAGCATGTCTGAAGAGCGACATGAGCGCGTGCGGAAGAAATACCACATCCTGGTGGAGGGAGACGGTATCCCACCACCCATCAAGAGCTTCAAGGAAATGAAGTTTCCTGCAGGTAGTCAGGGACCGGAGAGAGATACCACACTTTTATAATCAAGTGCCTGTGAGATTATGTCCGAGCCCGCCCTGAGTTCAGCCACATCTGCATTGGATCCAGTCACTGGGGCTGGAGGGATTTGAGGAGAAGTTTCTTTAGGTTCCTTGTTGCCCCAGCTGTACATGTTCATTGTTCTCTGCTGTTACGAAGCTTCAGGAGGAAAGTGCCATTGGGCATAGGCACTGGGTACAAGTCCTGGCTGCACCTAGCCTGTGGGCCTTGGACAAGTCTCTTTTTTGTTTTTTTTTTTTCCTCTCTCTCTCTCTCTCTCTCTTGCTCTGAGCCTCAGTTTCATCATCTGCAACTTATAGGGGTAGTGCCAGTTTTACAGGCTTTGGGGCTCTGAGAAAGTACCTGTGAGTCACAAGGACGTTGTCTGTTGGTTTTCATAGCCATCCTGAGAGGCCTGAAGAAGAAAGGCATTCACCACCCAACACCCATTCAGATCCAGGGCATCCCCACCATGTGAGTGTGGACTGTGGACCTGGGGTCCTTGAGGAGGGCGGGAACGGGGAGGAGCAAATGGCTAGGTGTCCTTCATCTTCTGTTGAAATTGGCTCTCGGGTCATCCTCTCCCAACAGTCTATCTGGCCGTGACATGATAGGCATCGCCTTCACGGGTTCAGGCAAGACACTGGTGTTCACGTTGCCTGTCATCATGTTCTGCCTGGAACAAGAGAAGAGGTTACCCTTCTCAAAGCGCGAGGGGCCCTACGGACTCATCATATGCCCCTCGGTAAGACAGGCTGGCCCGGAGGGCAGGCCAGAGACTGGGGCTGCCATCTGGTACCAGCCTTTGTCGCTCTGCCTGCAGCGGGAGCTGGCCCGGCAGACCCATGGCATCCTGGAGTATTACTGCCGCCTGCTGCAGGAGGACAGCTCACCACTCCTGCGCTGCGCGCTCTGCATTGGGGGCATGTCCGTGAAGGAGCAGATGGAGACCATCCGACAGTGAGTGCTGGCGCTCCCTGCCCCCACCTCTGCCACCTGCGAGTCCGTGGAAAAGCTAAAGGACCCTTTACCTTAGCCACTCCACACATCTTCACAGAGGGCTGCTGTGAGTCCAACCCTCAAGGAGCTCCCAGTCTAATGGGGAGGTCAGTTGGGGGAGGACAGAGGGATGTGGCCCGGTGCTGTGGGAGCACAGCAGATGGAGTGGCGCACCTTGCTGGGGACATCTGGGAGGTGGGAGCTCAGAGCAGGCTTTGCAGGGAAGGTGACGTTTGAATTTGGAAGAGGAGCAGTCCAGGCTGAAAACACAGAGGTGGACGGCCCAGGAATGTCAGGGTCATTCAGTGGTCAGTAAAGGAGGTTGAGGCACTGGGGTAGGGCTGGATCCCAGTGGCACTTGTGTCCTTTCTGTGCTGTGCAGTCCTCTGCAGACCGCCGGAGGCCCTGGACCAGGCCCTCTGTTTACAGATGGGCCAGACCCCATCCCAGAGGCCTTTCTCTATGGACTTCTGAGTCTTAGGGAGATGTGGGCACAGAAAAGATGAAGCCAGTGGACCAGGAAAGTGAGCCCCAAGTAAAGCCTCTGGAGCTTCAGGACAGCGCTTCTGGGTGAGAGGACTGACCCAGGAGAAGGGGGAAGGGCGTGCCAGGCTGAGCGGTGGTAAAGATGGCTGCAGCGCCTTGGGAGAGAGTTGCGTGCTATACATAGGGCAGGTGGTGGGAACGATGAGAAGGGGACAAAGAAATAGGAAGGAGGACAGACAGCAGAAGAGATGCAGGGCGTCTGCTTGCCTTAAGGTAAGTGTTAGGCCAGTGGCCCCAACCTCAGGGTCTCTGCTTGGTCCCCAGCGGTGTACACATGATGGTGGCCACCCCAGGGCGCCTCATGGATCTGCTGCAGAAGAAGATGGTCAGCCTAGACATCTGTCGCTACCTGGCCCTGGATGAGGCTGACCGCATGATCGACATGGGCTTCGAGGGCGACATCCGCACCATCTTCTCCTACTTCAAGGTGCCTGCCCCCGCCCAGCCAGGGCACCCCTACACCACCCCACCACTGCACACCACATCAAACTGTGGAGACCCCACGCCTCTGACCACACCACCCACTGCTCATACTTCGTGGGCTGTGTGTCAGTTGCTCAGCTTCCTCAGACCCCATGCCCCTCAGCCCAGCCCTGCGTGCCCTTGGTCGCAACCCCCCCACTTCCTCAGGGCCAGCGACAGACCCTGCTCTTCAGTGCCACCATGCCGAAGAAGATTCAGAACTTTGCTAAGAGTGCCCTTGTAAAGCCTGTCACCATCAACGTGGGGCGCGCTGGGGCTGCCAGCCTGGATGTCATCCAGGTGGGCCGGCGCTCCTGATGGGCGGTCTCTCACCTGTGGGGGCTGGATCTGATAAGGCTCCCTGAAGCTGATTGGAGCCGGGGGTCTACCTTGTGGGAACTGGGGGTTTCGTTCAAAGCCCCTGACCCTTAACCAGGGAAATTTTTAGGACACCCAGCCCTTGGCGGCCAGAGGCTTCTGGTCACCTCATGGTCCAGATGACGGGCTGTGGCAGGGCTATGGCGGGTAAACCTAACCTCAAGATCACCTTGTGGTGGCAGGAGGTAGAATATGTGAAGGAGGAGGCCAAGATGGTGTACCTGCTCGAGTGCCTGCAGAAGACGCCCCCACCTGTGAGTGCAGCCAGGCCAGGCTGGGGCCAGAGTCCCTAGGACCAGGCAGGGCTTTGGAGGGGACAGTGCCGGGGGAGGTGAAGCGGGTGCCCAGGCAGTTAGCCCCTGACTGGAGTTTGTCTTTCCGGACAGGTACTCATCTTTGCAGAGAAGAAGGCAGACGTGGACGCCATCCACGAGTACCTGCTGCTCAAGGGGGTTGAGGCCGTAGCCATCCATGGGGGCAAAGGTCAGGGTGGTGCACAACTGGCTTGGACCCTGCCGCAATAGCGGCGCTTTACCTCACGCCTTCCCCTAGTTGGGTGGCCTGCCACTCCCCTATCCCGTGGTGGCTCTGACAGTGTCTGCCTGACCCTCCCCAGACCAGGAGGAACGGACTAAGGCCATCGAGGCATTCCGGGAGGGCAAGAAGGATGTCCTAGTAGCCACAGACGTTGCCTCCAAGGGCCTGGACTTTCCTGCCATCCAGCACGTCATAAATTATGACATGCCGGAGGAGATTGAGAACTATGGTAGGGGCCTGGGGCCCAAGGGCACGGGCTAGGCTGGGGAAGGGCCAAGCCAGGCACCTGGTGTCCAGCAGTGGGCCAGAGTCTGTCTCTCTCTGCAGTGCACCGGATTGGCCGCACCGGGCGCTCGGGAAACACGGGCATCGCCACTACCTTCATCAACAAAGCCTGTGGTGAGTCTGTCACCAGAGCCACCTTAGCTATTCCCCGGGTCCCCTGCCTATGGCCACCCAGGTTCTGGCCACAGGGCCCAGGATGGGCCCTGATGCTTCCCCACTCCTCCACCAGATGAGTCAGTGCTGATGGACCTGAAAGCGCTGCTGCTGGAAGCCAGGCAGAAGGTGCCGCCTGTGCTGCAGGTGCTGCACTGCGGGGACGAGTCCATGCTGGACATTGGAGGTGACTTCGGAGCGGGATCCCTGAGTCCCCAGCCGGCGGGTGGCAGGAGGGGGTGCTGGAATTCAGAAACACGAAACAGGGACCGAGGGTGCCTAACAGGGTGCCTGAGGTCCAGGGCATGGATCCTGGCCCTTGACTTGGCTGATCCCTGTCCCCATTCCCCCAGGAGAGCGCGGCTGTGCCTTCTGCGGGGGCCTGGGCCATAGGATCACCGACTGCCCCAAACTCGAGGCTATGCAGACCAAGCAGGTCAGCAACATCGGCCGCAAGGACTACCTGGCCCACAGCTCCATGGACTTCTGACCCGATGGTCTTCCCTCCTCTCCAAGGGGCCTCGGTCCCCAAGATTGCCGCCAGTCTACACACACAGCAGCCGCCTGGGCTGGGCCAGACTGGTTCTGGTTGCCTGTTCCCTGTGCTCCTCAGAATTACTATTTTTGTTTCCTTTCACCCCAGCTGCCATTAAAGCACAAACCTCTATCCCAGCCCTGGCCTTGCCTCTGTGTTTCATCTCATCTGCCCCCTGGTTCCTGGGGCAGACATCACCTGTGACCTCTGGAGCCCCTCTGAGGCAAGGCCCCAGCGTCTCCCGCTAGCACTGCCAACACCCAGCCTGCTGGTACTTGGGCATGGAAGGAGCCACCGAGCTGGTGCCTGCCTCTGGGAACTCAGCATCTCTCCATTGGGTTGTGTGAATTTATGACTCAAGGAGGGACCACACTGGCAGGCCAAGGAGAAGTGCTTGGATTCTCTGGTCTCCCTGGCCAGCTGTCACAGCTCTCGGGCTCACTCTTCCTGTCAGTGGTGTGATGTTTCAGGGGCTTCTCCTGAAGCCCCTTGCGGGGCTGCTGCTTGCCTGAGGCTCCCCACCCACTGCCTGCCTGTGCCAGCCACCTGTAGGAAGCCCTCTGCTCTGTTGACTGAGGAGGCAGCAGATGTCATAGAACTGCCGTTCAGGCCACAAGCTCCCCCTAAGCCTGCTCTGTGCCCAGCTCTGCTGAGCTGTGAGGATCTAGACGGGCCAGGGAGATGGCTACCTGGGAAGCTCTCAGGCGAGGGGAGAGAGACGCACACACAGAAACGTGGACGGCAGTCACAAGACCGCTGGCAGATGAAGCAGGATCTCGGCATCTGGCGAGAGGTAGGCAGGGAACGGCACAGGCGGCCACACTTCCTCTGAACCGGGCGCTTTGTGTGTATGGCCACATGCTCATTCCAGTGGGACGGCGGTTGCTCAAGCCATATTTGTCACTTGGTGTGTGGCCTTGGGCAAGTTACTTAATTTTTCTAAGCACTGATTTCCTCACTGTTGAAATGGCGATGAGAATGCAAAGGACATGGTGTCTGAGGTGGCTGGAGCTCAGGGCTGCCTGGGCACAGTGGGCACAGAGCCGGGTGCTGGGAGGCCTTTAGGAAATATTTCCTGGCCAAGTGCATGCCCAAACGGCATTCCTTAGCCTGCTTCCATGTTCTCTCCCAGAGGTGACTCTGAATGACCTGAGACTGTTCCAGAATAAAGATACACACACACAGCCCCGCTACTGGTCTCCTGCTAGGCAAGCCAACAAAATGAGCCCCCAGCAGGAAGCAACGCTTTAAATGAACATGTGACCTCTCCGGGGCCCACTGGGACCTGCCACCCACACTCACGTGGTTGGGGCCATTCAGGGGTGTGGATCCCATGTGGACTGGATACCCAGCGTGAGTGTATACCGTGAGGGCCTTTGTGCTCTCGGACAGCGTGTAGTGGTCAGGGAAGGCCTCCGAGAGGAAGAGGTGACCCACCACCCCAGGCGGCACAGTGGTGAGGAGGCCCCGGAGGGGCTGGTCTGGGGGAATGAGCCTGGGGGAGATGGAGGCCAGAACACACGGGCCCCGGAGCGTTGGGCTGAGGAGCCAGGGCTGCAGCCCAGGAAAGGGACAGACAGAGTGGTCTTGGGTTGCGGAGAGTGCTGCGTGGGGCCCCAGTGGGGCTGTGTCCCCCAGGGGGATGCCAAGGCTGGCAACGTTCAGCGGCTCGTCAGGTGGAGAGGAGCAGGTGAACACGAGAGATTTCAGGGAGAAAGAGCAGCAAGACGGGGTGAGGCGCTCAAGCTGGGACGCCGAGTGGGAAAGCCAGGAGTTGGCTAGAGAAGGGTCCCGGCTGGAGGCACGGCCAGGGAGTGTCAGGCCAGGGTGCACAGCTGCCCAGGGCGGGTCGGGGGAAGGTGGGAACGCATGATGCAGGGAGCCAGCCTGCCACCAGACGCTCGTGCCCAGCTGAACCAGGTGCGGGCGCAGGCTGTTTGCCTTCAGGCGGCCAGGGACTCCCTCCAGGTAGGTGTGGGCACCTTGGGCAGCCAGAACCCCAGGAAGGAAATCCACGCTGCCCCAGCCCGAGCTGAAGACAGGCTCCCCTCCCCCCGCCTGCGGCTGCTCTGGACGGACGGACGGGAAGTGGCCCGAAGGGGAAGTGTGAGGAGTTCCCGTCCAGCCTGTCATCAGTCTCCCCAGGTCTCGAAGTGGTGGCCCTGCTCCCTGCCGTGACCATGGACCCTGTGGAGACCCCTGTCAAGGATGGCATCCTCTACCAGCAGCATGTCAAGTTTGGCAAGGTGGGGACTCCTGGCTGCCAGGCAGCTGCCAAGGACCAACAGTGGGTGGAGAATGCAGCCTCTGCCCCTGCCTCGGACAGCCCAGGCAGACCTGGGAGACTTGGGAAGGGAGTCAGGGTGAAGGATCCCACCCCAGGTATGGGGAGTGGAACAGAGCACGGGTGTCGGCCAGAGATGGCAGGGGCTGAGCAGGCCTGCCTCTGGGAGAGACGGGGAATACAGGAGCGGGAGAGGGTGGAAGGCTCAAACCTCCCAGCAGGGAAGAGCTTCACGGCCTCTGACCCACTGCGGGCCCTAGGGAGGGTGAGGGGCTGAGCTGGAGTCCCAAGGGTGGAGCCCCTCCCTGCAGCGGCACTGTCCTGGGAGCAGCGAGGCAGGGGGGTCACCTCTCCTCGGCAGTGGCCCCACACCCCCGCAGCTCAGCTGCAGCTGCTGCCCAGGCAGATAAACCGTCGATTTCCTTTGCTCGAAGCTATTTGCATGTTTCCTTCCTTACCAGTGTGAGGCGGAGGCCTCCCTCCCACCCCAGCCCTTGGCCTGTGGCCCAAGTGCCCCTTTTTGGGGGCAAGAGGGAGCCAACATAATGGCAGTGTCTGGTGGTCTGCCCGGCCACTGGAGGCTTTACAAACATGACCCGGTAGCAGCCCCAACTCGTGTTCTCGTGGCCTTTTGAGAGACGACACTGATGCTTGTGGAGGTCACAGTTCGGGAAGAGCGGGCTGGGATTTGAACCCAGGGCTGACCAGTCCGAAGCCCAGCCAAGGCCTCCTTCCTGGCGCCCTGAGAAACTAGGGAGCAGAGGCCCGCTCCTGGCTGGGAGCGTTTGCCAAGCAGCTTGTGCTGAACCGAGTGGCATGGAGAATCTGCCACCCAAGAGTCTTCGCTCTCCCCCGCCTCTCCCACAGAAGTGCTGGCGGAAGGTGTGGGCTCTGCTGTATGCAGGAGGCCCATCAGGCGTGGCACGGCTGGAGAGCTGGGAGGTCCGGGATGGTGGCCTGGGAGCAGCAGGTGACAGGTCGGCAGGGCCTGGCCGGCGAGGGGAGCGACGGGTCATCCGCCTGGCTGACTGTGTGTCGGTGCTGCCGGCCGACGGTGAGAGCTGCCCCCGGGACACCGGTGCCTTCCTGCTCACCACCACCGAGCGAAGCCACCTGCTGGCCGCGCAGCACCGCCAGGCCTGGATGGGCCCCATCTGCCAGCTGGCCTTCCCGGTGAGTGCAGCGGGCAGGGGGGTGGTTGGGCTGGGGCACCTGCCCCCCACTTGTCCACCTCCATGCTCACTCACATCCCGTCACCCAGCAAGCTCCACCGAGCACCTACAATCCTGGGAAAAGTAAATCTATAATGACTCTCAGAGGGCCACGCGCGCCGTGGAGAAAATGGACCGCCAGGGGAGCAGGAGGAAGTGAGGGTGCGACGGGCAGGGTGGTCAGGGAAGGCCTGTCAGAGGAGGGCCCTGAATGACAGGAGCCCACTGGGCAAAGGTCTGAGGACAGGGGCAGCCTGGGGAGTTGTGAACAGAGGCAGTCCCGTGGGCAGAGGCCCCGAGGTCGGACAGTGTGGGGTGTTTAAGGGCAGAAAGAAGGCGACATGGCTGGAAGGATAGGAGTGCAGGAGGAAGCCAAATCACGGAGCTTAGGGGAGCAGCTGAAACGCCCCAGGCCATGTGTGTGGTTCTGTTCTGAGTGTGAGGCGAAGGCTTTGGAGGGTTGTAGCCAGACACGTTTGTAAAGCCCCACAAGGTCTGTGATGGGTCAAAAGGAAGTGAGCCTGGGGGTTCTTCAAAGAGGTAAACAGAGTTACCATGTGGCCCACAGGTCCACTCCTAGGTGTGTGCCCAAGAGAACTAGAACAGGTGTTCAAACAAAACATGTACATGTGAGGCGGCAGGATCGCGTGAGCCCCAGAGGTCGAGGCTGCAGTGAGCCGTAATCGTGCCACTTCACTCCAGCCCGGGAGACAGAGCAAGACCCTATCTCAAAAAAAAACCCCATAGCAGCACTACTCACGGCCACCAGAAGGTGGAAACAGCCTACGTGGCCATCAGCTGACAAATGGATAAACAAAACGTGGTCTGTCCACAAGATGGAATACTACTCAGCCATAAAAATGAACAAACGGGCCAGGCGCAGTGGCTCACGCCTGTAATCCCCCACTTTGGTAGGAGGATTGCTTGAGCCTAGGAATTCAAGATCAACCTGGGCAACATAGTGAGACCCTGTCTCTAAATAAACAAAAAGAAAAGGAAAGAAGAAAAAGAAATGCACAGACTAGGAAACTCCGTTGGGATAGAAATCAGATGAGTCTTGCCAGGAGCTGGGGGAGGGGAGAAGTGGGGAGTGGCAGCTCACGGGTACAGGGTTTCCATGTGGGATGATGGAAAAGTTCTGGAACTAGACAGTGGCAACAGCTGCACAACCTTGTGAATATACTAAAAAGCACTGGTGGCCAGGCGTAGTGGCTTACGCCTGTAATCCCAGCACTTCGGGAGGCTGAGGTGGGCAGATCACCTGAGGTCAGGAGTTCGAGACCAGCCTCAACATGGAGAAACCCCGTCTCTACTGAAAATACAAAATTAGCTGGGTGTGGTAGTACATGCCTGTAATCCCAGCTGCTCGGGAGGCTGAGGCAGGAGAATCACTTGAACCTGGGAGGCGGAGGTTGCGGTGAGCCAAGATGGCGCCATTGCACCATTGCATTCCAGCCTGGGCAACGAGAGCAAAAGTCCATCTCAAAAAAAAAAGCACTGGTGATACACTTTAAGATGTAAAATGGACCAGGCGTGGTGGTTCACACCTGTAATCCCAGCATTTTGGGAGGCCGAGGCAGGTGGATTACCTGAGGTCAGGAGTTCGAGACCAGCCAGGCCAACATGGTGAAACCCCACCTCTACTAAAAAAAAAAATTACAAAAATTAGCCAGGCGTGGTAGCACACACCTGTAATCCCAGCTATTACTTCGGAGGCTGAGGCAGGAGAATTGCTTGAGTCTGGGAGGCAGAGGTTGCAGTGAGCTGAGATTGTGCCACCGCACTCCAGCCTGGCTGACAGAGCAAGACTGTGTCTCAAAAAACAAACAAAAAAAAATGTAAGATGGTTAAAACCGTAAATTTTATGTTCTCTGTATTTTATCATATTTAAAAAATAAAAAAACAAAAGGCAGTTGAGGTTAGGCATGGTGGCTCACGCCTGTAATCCCAGCACTTTGGAAAGCCGAAGCACGTGGATCACCTGAGGTCAGGAGTTCAAGACCAGCCTGCCCAATGTGGCAAAACCCTGTCTCTACTAAAAATACAAAAAATTAGCCAGGTGTGGTGGTGGGCACCTGTAATCCCAGCCACTTGGGAGACTGAGGCAGGAGAATCACTTAAACCCAGGAGGTGGAGGTTGCAGTGAGCTGAGATCTCGCCATTGCACTCAAGTATGGGTGACAGAGCAAGACTCCATCTCAAAAAAAAAAGGCAGTTGACAGGAGCAAGGAGCCCGGTGAGGAAGCTGTGGCATTTGACCCGGCCGTGTTGCTATGGGCCAGGGTGGTCCTAGTAGACGGGCTGAGTGGGAAAGAGCTAGAGGACAACTGAAGGCCTGGGTGTAGGGATGAGGCATAGGCAGAGATTGGGGGCACCTTGCAGGGTCGTAGCAGGTGGTTGCAGTGAAATGGAAAAAGACACGTGGGGTACTGCTCCCCGCCCAGCTCACACGTGTGTGCCAGCCGGAACACTCCTGTCCCTGTACTGCTCCAGGCTGTCAGAGACATGCAGAAGCCGGCCCAGCCAAGCCGAGGGGCTGCAGGGGACATCCCCTAGTGTCCCCAGTGATCTGTAGCTCTGACACCCTCAAGCACCGCACCTCTTTCCCAGCCCAGCACTCTCAGTGGGGAGCCAGGTGGGAGAACAGGCTCAGAAGGGACCCTGGTTTGTGGTGGAGTCCTGGGATACTGATCCCAAGGGAGGGGACAGGGCATGGGAGTGTGGTGCTCCCACCTTTGACTTGAACTCATTCCCCAGGGGACAGGGGAGGCCTCCTCAGGATCCACAGATGCCCAGTCTCCCAAGAGGGGTCTGGTCCCTATGGAGGAGAACTCCATCTACTCCTCCTGGCAGGAAGGTAAGTTGGAGGAGGTGCAGGGGCAGCCTCCACCCCCCACACCCAGGGCTGGGTCTTTGGGGGACTGACCGGGATGTCCTGGCCACCTGCCACAGTGGGCGAGTTTCCCGTGGTGGTGCAGAGGACCGAGGCCGCCACCCGCTGCCAGCTGAAGGGGCCGGCCCTGCTGGTGCTGGGCCCAGATGCCATCCAGCTGAGGGAGGCCAAGGTCACCCAGGTCCTCTACAGCTGGCCCTACCACTTCCTACGCAAGTTCGGCTCTGACAAGGTGAGGTGCAGGGGTGGGAAGGGTGGGGGGCCGACACCCTAGACCCTCCTGCTGATCCCCACCCGTGTCGCCTGTGCCCAGGGCGTGTTCTCCTTTGAAGCCGGCCGCCGCTGCGACTCGGGTGAGGGCCTCTTTGCCTTCCACACCCCCTGTGCCCCCGACCTGTGCAGGGCTGTGGCCGAGGCCATCACCCGCCAGCGGGAGCGACTGCCAGAGCTGGCCAGGGCCCAGCCCTGCCCCCTGCCACGGGCCACCTCTCTGCCCTCCCTGGACGCCCCCGGAGAGCTGCGGGAGATGCCACCAGGACCTGAGCCACCCACCTCCAGGAGGGTGCGCCTGGCTGAGCCCGGACCCCAGAGCCTGCCGCTACTGCTAGGCCTGGAGCCCAGCGATCCGGCATCCGGGCTCTACGCCTCAGTGTGCAAGCGTGCCAGTGGGCTCCCACGCATGGAGCACCTCTATGAGAACCTGTGTGTGCTGGAGGCCAGCCCCACACCGCACAGCGGGGAACCTGAGCAGCACGAGGGCCCTGGCGGCCGCAGCCCCACAGCCAGTCCCATCTACCACAACGGCGAAGACTTGAGCTGGCCCAGCCCAGCCCATGACAGCAGTCTGGAAGCCCAGTACCGGCGGCTGCTGGAGCTGGATGAGGCAGAGGGCACAGGCCGCCCTGACCCTCAGGCAGGCTTCAAGGCCAAGCTGGTGAACCTGCTGAGTCGTGAGCGGAGGAAGGGCCCTGCCCCTTGTGACCGGCCCTGAACACCCAGCAGAGTGGTGGCCAGAGGGGAGAGGTGCTCCCCCTGGGACAGGAGGGTGGGATGGTGGGCACATAGTGGGCCCATGCGGACACACGCCTGTGTCTACCCTGGCCTGCAGGAATGAGGCAGGCCGCCTGTGGAGGACCTCCGCCCTGCCCTGCCCTCCACATATGCGGTGTGCAGACTCGCAGATAATAAAGCTCAGAGCAGCGCCCAACAGGGGCACTCACGGCACACGCCCCTGCCCACGTTCATTGCAGCCAGCACCAGCGCCCTGTGCTGGTTCCAGGGGCACAGGTGACCTGGGCCTGACCTGCCACCCATGGGCTCAGATCCACTGCGGCAGCAGACAGGATGGAGATCATTAGGACTCCATGTGGCCCTCCATGGCCAGAGTGACATGAAGAGGCAGGCAGAGGGAACCCTGAGGGTTGTTTGTCAGACTGGGGAAGGAGCAACATGAGGGCCCAACTGGAGACCCGGAGGCCCGAGCTGGGGAGCTGGGAGGAGGCAATGGGGGCGGGGAGCAGGTGGAAGGGATTTCAGAGACGTCCTCGCCCCACACACTTGTTCCCTGCTGAAACTCCAACAATTTGCAGATACTTCTGGGAACCCGCGGCCTCAGTCTCCTCATCTGTAAAGGAGAGAGAACAAATGATATATCAGGCATCATCCTAGATGAGAGTTTTGCTGTGTGCCTACTCAGTGCCAGGCACTGGGGGACATGGCCGTGTTCAGGACAGCCTTGGTCCTGTTCGGGAGCCGACATTCCGGGGGAGAGAAGTTTCCTGAAGACTTCCATGCTGCGCTCCCTCCTCTGCTCCTGCTGCTGTTGCCATCCTAGGAGCCAGCCATGCGCACAAGCATCATGCCTCCAGGGGTCTGGCTGCTTGGCCCCTCACCGCAACTCCACCTCAGCTGCCCACACCCTTGGCACATCCTGAACCTCATTTTCAGGACGGACACATAATTTTTGCTCTCTTGTGTCCAAGCCTCATCCTCTGGCCACCTCCTCCTTCCAGCTCACTTCCTCTCGCACGGCCAATACCGCCCCTGCCTAGCCACATCGACCTACCGGGACCCTTTTCTGGCTCTTCCAGGCCTCTGCCCACCATCCCCTCTGTTCTCCATAGTCCCTTCCCCCCTTCTCTCTCCTTTCATCTTATTGGTCTGGCAAGACCCCGGCCTTGGATGAGCCCAGACCTCCTCTGTGCCTGCACACAGCCGCCCATAGCCAAAAAAACCCATTTAAGCAGGCTGACTGCATCCTTAACGGTGCAGGGCAGGCGCTCCCTGCCACCAGAGACCCTGTTCCCTAGAGGGGCAGCTTTTCTCCTCCCCAGAACCTCCTGTCTGTCCCCACCCAGTGTCTCCTCACAGGCATGTTGGGGAAACAGGTCAGGCTCTCCCACTGCATCTGCAAGTGTACTGGCATCCATCCGTCTTTTTCCTACCCCTACAGTCGCAACAGTGTTTGTCCCCAGCTATGCTCTGATCCCGGCTCCTCTCACCTCAGAGCTTGGAAATTTCAGCTCTCTCCTGGGCCCATTCATCCTATCAGCGGCTTTTCCAGCCACACCCAAACATGCTCTGTAATGTCACATTTTAAACCTTCCCTTGCCCTCACATTCCCCTTTGGCCACCTCCCTGTTTCTCTGTTCCTCTTCACAGCAAAAACTCTTCAAAAGAGTTGTTGATTACTTTCATTTCCACTTTCTTACCCCTATTTTCCCCTCAATTAACTCTCCTTCATCCCCATGATGCCATTATGTGGCTCTTATTAGAGTCACCAACGTTATTCTCCAAAACAAAAGCAACAAGGACTTTGACTTCTCAGCAGCACTCAGCTCTGGTTCTTGAAACACCCCCCATTACTTGCTTTTCCTCCTACCTCATAACTCTGTCTTTCCCAGCCTCTACTGCGGCCTTCTCTGAGTTCTTCCCAGGGTCCTAGGCTCTGATACAGTGTAGCTCAACCCTGCTACACAAAGAATCTCCTGAAAGCCTGTAAAACTGTCCATGCATGTTCTGTGAGTGACCTACCAAGAGAATAAACAATTTTAAAAATCCATTTCACACGCAGGGGCTCTGAGTTCATCAGTCTGGGTAGGTGGGGTCTGGGCCTCAATGCTCATTGGGTTTCCGGATGATTGTAATATGCAGCCTAGGCTGGGAACCACTGGCCTCAGCAAGCCAGTCATTCTCCAGGTGTCACAGACCCTTGGTGCTGACCCCAGAGGTCTGTCTTCAGTGCAGACCTCCCCCTGAGCTCCAGATTTAGTAATCCCACTGCACACGAGACATCTGGATGTGGAAAAGGCATCTCCAGATCCCATGGGTGAAAGGGGGTTGGGGGAATGGAGACTGGTGTTCTTCCAGCATGTGTGTGGACACAACGCAAAGCCTGGAGGGATGCTAGAGCCATGGGGAGGAAGATTTCAGCTTACTCATTCATGCAAGCACTTCCTGATGGGTAAGGCCTTAGCAAGCTGAGCCCAAGAGGCGAGCAGTCAAGGTGTTGCTGCAGGCACCCCCACTCCCTACAGTGGCAAACCCAAGCCCAGTCCTTGGCAGCTCAACAAATCCCAGGGCACACTGAAGGTCACCCAGAGAGTCAGGGGCATGGCTAGAACCGACTCTGGGTGCCCAGCATGGCATCCTTTCCTTCATTACAAATCTGAGCTTCTTTGTTTCATAGGGATTTCTGTGATATTCCAAGGGGACTGTGGGAAAGTCCTTGGAAACCACCAGGACTCTAGAGGCCTGGGCCTAGAGCCTCAGGAGTCTTGGCCACCAGAGGGCGCTGTGTCCCTGTCCAGGTCCAGTTGCGACCCAGGGGCTGCCTGTGCTGGGAGGCTCCCGGCAGTCGGGGACACAGACCTGTGCTTTCCACCAGCCCAAGGAGTGGGAGCCAGGGGTCCTCTCTGCTGGAGGACTGCCAGGACCCCCAGGCTGCCACCTCTTCCTTTGCTCATTTGCTGTTTCACTTTGTCAATCCTTCCTTTCTTCGTGTGTTCATTCACATCCACTGTGTGTAGGCCCTGGGGAAATGTTAGACAAGACACATAAGCTGTGTGTCTTCATTGTCCTAACAAAGAGCACACCCTGGAAAGAGCACCGCAGACAGTCCCCATTCCCCCAGCTCCCTCCACACATGCACTCCAGAGATGCCTTTTCCACATCCAGATGTCTCGGGTGCCATGGGATTCCTAAGTAAACAAACACTTCATACGGAATGTCAGATGATGGAGATGCTATGGGGAAAAGTAAAGCAGAGGGAGGGCCTAGTGTGCAATGCGGGTGAGGCATCAGGGGGTTGCTGTTTCAGATGTGATCAGGGAAGGCCCTGGGAGGAGGCAACATCTGAGCAGAGACCTAAAAAAAGTTGGAAGCCTGTTGCTGAGATACCTGGAGAAGTGTTTCAAGGGCCGGGCACCGTGGCTCACGCCTGTAATCCCAGCACTTTGGGAGGCCAAGACAGATGGATCACTGGTGGTCAGGAGTTTGAGAGCAGCCTGACCAACATGGAGAAACCCCATCTGTACTAAACATATAAAAATTATCCCGGAATGGTGGTTCATGCCTATAATCCCAGCTACTCGGGAGGTAGAGGCAGAAGAATCACTTGAACCCGGGAGGCAGAGGTTGCAACAAGCCAAGATCACACCACTGCACTCCAGCCTGGATGACAGAGTGAGACTCCGTCTCAAAAAAAGAAAAAAAAAAAAAGAAGTGTTTCAAGCAGGGGAACTGGCAAGTGGACAGGCCCTGAGGCAGGAATATGCTTGGCCTGCTGGGGGAAATGTGAGTGAGGAGGCCAGGGTGGCTGGAGTGGAGGGAGCGAGTGGTAGGAGTCAGACGCAGTTTATTTGTGTTCTGTAGGTCTTAAGGACTTTAGTTTTATTTTGAGTGCAATATGATCTCACTGGAATGCTAAAAGCTGAGAGTGACATGGTGGTGTGATTCTGGCTTTAAAAATATCACTTTGGCTGCTTCATGAAGACTCTGGAAGGGGCAAGGGTGAAAGCAGGGATACCCGTTAGGAGACTGTTACAGGGGCACAGGCACAAGATGGCAGTGGCTGGGACAATGGTGGAAGCAGCGGTTAGATGTGAACATGCTGAAGGTGGAATTTGCAGAATCTGGGGGAGGACAGACGAGAAAGGAAGGATAACTTCACCGTTTCTGCTGAACCAGTTGGATGAATGTTGGTGGCACTTGTTGAAGTCAGGAATGAGTTAGGGAGGTGGGAAAGGCACAAGGTGGGACAGGTGGGCCATGATGGCCTGAGATACCTAGCACAGTGGCTCCCCAACCTTTTTGGCAGAAGGGACTGCTTTCACGGAAGACAATTTTTCCACGGACTGGGGGCAGGTGGGGGTGGCTTCAGGAGGGTTCAAGTGCAGTACATTTATCATTAGGTCCTTTTTTTTTTTTTTTTGAGATGGAGTCTCGCTCTGTCACCCATGTTGGAGTGCAGTGGAGCCATCTTGGCTCACTACAACCTCTGCCTCCCCGGTTCAAGTGATTCTCCTGCCTCAGCCTCCTGAGTAGCTGGGATTATATGCATGTGTCACCACGCCCAGCTAATTTTTGTATTTTTAGTAGAGACAGGGTTGCACCATGTTGGCCAGGATGGTCTCCAACTCCTGACCTCAAGTGATCCTCCCCCACCTCAGCCTCCCAAAGTGCTGGGATTACAGGTACAGGCGTGAACCACCGCACCTGGCCCATTTATTATTAGATTCTCATAAGGAACGAGCAACCTCGATCCCTCGCATGCACAGTTCACAATAGGGTTCACGCTCCTATCGGAATCTAATGCTGCTGCTACACTCAGCTTCTCTGGCTTGCCGCTGCTCACCTGCTGTGCAGCCCAGTTCCTAACAGGCTACAAACAGGGGGTTGGGGACCCTGATCTAGTAAACATCTAGGCAGCGTTTTGGATAATGGAGTCTGGAGCTCCTGGGGAGAGGTCAGGCTGGCCATGAAACATGAGATGCCTTGGCATACAGGTGGTATTGAAAGCCACAGGACGGTACGGGGTCTTAGGGGGTGAGAATAAAGAGAGATGGCATCAGACGGCCAAAGCCAGAGGCAGAGGAGGATGGGGAGGAGGGGCCAGTGGGGCAGGGAGAAGCTGTGAAGTCAGGGAAAAAGGGTGTTTCGGGGGACGAGAATCCACCCGGACCCATGCTGCCCCTAGGAAGGGCAGGATGAAACTGAACCACCACGGATTCCATGGCCCGATGGCCTCCAGGTCACAGGTGACCTTGAGAAGAAAGATCTCAGGGGACTGGTGCGGACAAGGGCCTGCCTGGCATGGCTTCAAGAGATAACTGAAGGAAAGCAAGTGGAGACGCGATAAACAGACAACTCCCTGGAGGAATTTTACTCTCAAGAGCAGAATTAAAGGCTAGTCGTTGGAGAGGGATGTGGGGTCAAGAGAAGGTCTTTAACGATGAGAACTCTCACAGCGTTTTATGCAGAAGAGGGTGGGTGTGATGACTGTGGATGGAGAGGGGAGAACTGCAGCAACCATGTCCTAGGAGGAGCTGACCGGCCGGGACCACCAAGCGAGTGGAGGGTGGACGCCCCTTCCCTCACCCCGACACCCGCATGCTCTCAGTGTCCGCGCCGCGGGCCCTAGTGCCCAGGCTGAACGCGGGGCCGGGACTCTGAGGACGCCTCCTACGGGGCGCAGTCCGCTCTGGCCAA